GTGAGACAAGGAGTCAATGATCGATTTGTTCTGGAGCATAACGTCATACCTGAGCTGATGTATGTAATGCAGCGAAATTGAGGACCAAAATCCGCAAACATATACTCCGAAGATTCCTGTGTTCATCGTCGGATACGTCAATGAGCCAACTAATCATGTCATTCTTATAGAGAAACATAGTCAAGTGGCGAATCGTGTCATAGGAAGATAACATACAGGTTGAGCATCCCCGCCTTGTTCTAGAGTCTGCAGTCGTTCTCGCACGATAGGTTCCAGAAGTGCCATGCATGCCCTAATACTACTGGGCGTGTTCGTCAATAATCGACCAATGATCCTAAAAGTCAAAGTTGGGTCTTCGCACCATCAATTCAGCAACACTGCTTACGGATGTGCAAATTTTGGGAAAAAATTCACGAGAGTTGCACGCAATACCACTTGTAAAGCGAATTGCTGTTGCAGGGCTTCAAATTCAGGGGATCGGCCTGTAAGCGGGCTGAGCGGATGCACCCTTGATCTAAGCGAACCACTTACATAGCGGAAGGCCAACAAAGAGGCGATTGCTTACGCGACACATAGCCTTCATGATCTCCGGGTATATGCGAACCTTGGCCCAACCTGCGCAAAGAGAACGTAAAAATAACCTCACGGAGAAGGTGGTAAAACTTGCCATTTTGGGCTGATGGTATGATGGTGCTGAATGTGTCAATGATCTCGTTGTAAACATCAGGAAAGAGCGCTTGAAGGTTTCGGGAGAGATGGTTGCGAGTGACTTGGATGTGATAGGGATATTCTTGCGCGTCGATGCCAAATGTATATTTGACTTGAAGAAGCTGTGAAATCGTGTATTAAATCTGAATGTTACGGAACAAAAAAGAAACTTGCAACATACATCTCGCATAGCGTGATCAAAGGAGAGCTCGTCTTCCGGCACTTTCCTCAGCTCCTCTATTAGCCGTGGTCCAGTCAGAACTACGACCCATTTGTCAAACAATGGGACTCTGAACATCCCGCCTTTGTGCTTCATCGACGTTCAAAACATAATTACCTAATAATAGCATTGTCACCAACCTTCTCATAGCCTTCTTGCACCATGGCTGGAGCATCCCTTATGAAGCGGACGGCGCCAAGCCATGAGGAGACTGCTCCTGATGGGCCGATTGCAGGAATAACACTAAGCTAGACTCGACGTTAGTCAGTCTACTGTAACTGGATAAAAGTGCTTGCCTCTGAAAACCTGCGACGATCGTAAATAAGGACGAGGAGAAGGGTTACTATAAGAGCCCAGCCATAGACAAATAGACCAGCGCTGTCCATAGAATGAGCGTCGGAGGCAAAAAGAGGTGGAGGGCATTTCGGACACCACTCCCATGCAGACCAAGGGTATTTATGTTATTAGTGTAATGGAAATTAGAGTTAAGCACAATCGAGCTCGCCAGCTGGCTTACTAGATTAGATACGAGCAGTGGCGCGGAGTATTGAACATATAATTTTTTCGTTCTCAAGGCCAAGTTTTCACAGTAGTAAGCCCTATCCTCGACGCGCATGAGAAGGTCGAGAGACGAGCCAACCTCAATTTCGTCATGTCAACGAAGCCATGATCCATGGCCCGCATCAGTAATAAATTTTAAATTTTTAGTAACAAGGACAGCATGCAGGGACAGCCCTTGCAACTTTTGCGAACTTATCCTGAGCTTCTGACGTTGCAGAGCCAACACATCTCCGCTCAGACTGCTAAAGTTACTATGTAGGGCGTCTCACCTCCGCCAGAAATGAAACGGAATCGAACGGAAATTTCCCGCGTGTCCAATCGAGTATGCAGGTCGATCAGCAGCATTGTCATTGTTTTGGCTAAAGATGCAACGTTGAAGCACCTCAAGGCCGCCATCATTGGTTATTGCTGTCGTAATTAGAGCGGAACTTAGCACTATGGGCTACAACTGCGGAAGGGGTAAGTTACTAATCGTGGAAGCGTAACATGTCCATGAAACAGAATGGAGGTCAAAATAAGATGAAGGGGTTTTGTGTTAAATGATGATCTATATGTGCGATCTAAGAATAAGGCCACAGTATCCCAGCTATTGTCTATTCAACGCCAGTACTGCATTGTTAGTCAAATAACTATCTAGCGAACAGAAGCGATCATCGGATAGTCAAGGTTTTACCCTGACATCCCCATTCAATCAGGGGCCATAGATACAACTTTTTTTTATTGGATAGGCTCGGAACGATATCCTTGCCAGCAGCCTGACCCTGCGTCACCGGGAAACAAAGTTTAACAGCTTTCAGCACCGCAACCTCGCAACACGTCCATCTACCTACTGGAAGAAAAGTGCATCAATTCCACAGTCGTGCTAAAAACACATACAGAAGAATCAAGAACATCTAGGAATACTGCGTGGATTATCAGTTAATGCGATTGGTGTACCAAGGTCCATAGCCAAGGCACCTCGATAAGTGGTCGGATCGTCCTCTATGAGGTAAATCAAATCAACCAGATAGAAGACAGCTCAAATAAGAACACCAACCCATCTCCATATCAGAACCTGTCAAAGTCCAGAAAAAGGGTTACAACATGAATCAGATATCATGTTTCCGTTTACTCAGCCTTCGCCGATGAACTACTTCCTTGACCTTCCCAGTATCGGTTGCTGACAAGGACAGATGTTTTGTCAGTGGAGGGTTTGAGTGACCATGCGCTCCAGGCACATGCGTTGGCAAAGGTAGATTTCCAGGGAAGACGGCCGCTTTCTTCCGGAGTAGGTTTCGGCCTTGGCGATACATTGCTGCCGATTCGTGACTGTGGTCTTTGGTTAGTGGGAAGGGGTCAGGCTCAGGGTGGAGATCGTAGGGGTCAGTTCGGGGATAATATATATCCAGGGGTTGTTGTTGGGGTAGTGCTTGCGCAGACTGAAGCAGAGCAGGCATGACGAGGCGTTTTGGAAGGTGATGTTTGCGCGGTGGCTGTAAGCTATTTTGAGTGCGAGATATAGATTGCGTAGGTGTGGTGGTGCGCGTGAGCGAGCTGTCCAATGAGTGAGTTCTATGATGACGAGGAAGGGAGTTCGCCGGGTCGATCGCTTGACCATCAGGTGGTTCAACAATGAGCGGTGATGAAAAAGGCGTTGCCTGATTTGCATCTCCGCGAGCTTGTGACCGAGTTTCAAGATATCGTTCATTATGACCCGGCGGTAAACCGGGGGCAGAATGTATTTGATAGAGGGAATAAGGTGCGAGCTCATCATGAGCTGGCCGTTGTAGTATGTGAGGTATATCGTCACCAAAGCGATGGATCCGAGAAGCAGACTTGCTGGCGGGTGCACGTGACAATGAATGAGAAGGCGGCGCTTCGGGCGGATGGTGGTAAAGAGGAGAGTGGTCTCTGGCGTGACTGGGTTCTAACTGGTTCGAGTTTAGATTACGAAGATCTGGGTTCGGAATTACGGTTTTGGCCTGAGTGGTATGCATAGGCGGCGATGTAATACCAGATGGAATAATTTGCCCAGGAACGAAACTTAGAGACGGTCGACTGACTCCTGGACCAATCGGAGGCAATCTGGGGAGCTGCAGCAAAACATGTAAAGATAAAAGCTTCATGGTTCTCAGCTACCAAACATACTTTCTGGGTCCGCACCTGACGAGGGGCATTCTTTGCAAAGAGAATGTAAACATAAGTTGGAAAAGCTTGCATGTCTAACTCACCTCACGCTTAGATTTAGTATGGAAATCGCCTCGCAGGACATCAATGTCATTATACATGTGAGCTGGCCCAAGTTGCGCAAGATTGCTACCAATAGCATCGTAAGGACCGGCATGTTGCCATCCTGCTCCAAAAGGATCTGTCTCATCCATTTCGTCGATTCGATCGAGGGCGCGGGAGATTGTGAAACGTCGGATGAAATTCTTCATATGATGTTTTCCCGTAGGCCTGTTGCTACCATCTGCATGAACTGGAGTCGAGTCAGAGCGCATCGGGGCAGGTTTCACCACTTTTTCTCGCTGCTCTGGAGCTGTAACAATACGTGTTGGGGTAGGACGATTATAAGTAGGGGACACGGCTGGCGAAGACCCTGGGTCATGACCTGACGAAGACGAAGTAGGACATGAAGACGAAAGCTGCAAAGGCACAACAATACGAGGTATCGTGGGATCATCCAGCGAGTGGGAATGAGATGTAGCAGATGGTACAGTAGGCGACGTGAAGGCAGAGAGACCGGTGTGGGAGTCAGAATCTAAAGATACAGAAGGAGAGGCAGTCGGCGACATGTGAGCTTCTTCCGAACCGGGTGAGTGTGAAACAAGGTCTGGATCCTTCACAGGACAGAGCACTTCCTGATGAGGGGAGGCGTCACTGGGAGTGGTCTGGGAGGGATTGTTGACAAGAGGAGATTTAGACGGGAGTTCCTTGTAGAATGTAGGACTAATGAGTGGGAAATGCGGATGAACACGAGGATCGGAGGAGAATGCAGGGTCATTTAAGATGGTCATTGACAAAGGTCTTGAAAACCTGGGAGGGCTGTCACGGTGATAATATGAAGACGGAGATTGATCGAAGTCAGGAGTGAGAGATGCTGGAGATACAATGGCATATGGATTAGGATTGGCATGGTGCTGATAAGCAGCAGAAGTGGGAGACTGAAAGAAACCTGGAACACGCTCATCGCGGACTACGTTTGACGCATCCTGCAAATGATGGCTGATTTGGTGTTTATGACGACCTGCACCCCAGTTAAAAGGCATAGATAGACAGATGCGGTGCAAGCCTTAAAGAAGAGCTAACCAGACAAAGAATCGTTGTCAGTATTAACGAATGTTATCAACAGAAGAAAGACTTAAAATGGGACATGCAGAGCTTGTGCTGCCCACATGTGCACATGAGGTGACTGTCCATCAATGATCAATAAAATTAGACTGCACTTCTCTGTTTGGCCTGGCTTTGTGGCAACTTTGTGGTAAACCATTAAGACGGGGGTTGACGTTCAACACAACTTGAACACAACTGAATGGCAGACGTCGTATCTCTTCGAACAGAAATTAAAGCTTGGGAACGTGATTTCAAGTCAAAGTTCTCCAGAGATCCTTCTGTTCAGGATATTAAAGATCAACCTGCTATAGGTGCGTCTAATCGGTACTTTCACGTCGCGCTTGTACTCAATATCTTTGCAGCTGACAAGTACAAGTTATATAAGAAACTATCCAAAGCAGTAGCAGCAGCTGCCTGCCTCTCTCAGACCCCCACCACTCCACCGAAATCTACTGCTCACCCAAGTCGCTCCCGTATTATTTCTAAGCCGCGCGAAGTCGAAGTCGTAGCTCCTCTTCCAGGCTTCAATCCGTTCTCACCAGTGAAGAATAAAGGCAAGCAGAGGTATTCCCCTCCTGCATCCTCATTTTCAACTCGAAAGGCACCTTTACCAAATTCTTTCGCGACTCCGTCCAAGAATATACCAAACCGTTCCTCCCGGCGCGAATCCTCAGATAATTTTCCAGAAGGACAGCCAGATTTGTCAATTGGTACACCTCTCAACTCCCAATTACCTCCTGCGCGAAACACGGCAGTCTCGCGCGCACGAAAGAGACTTCGCGGTGAACCCGTCTCGCCCTCGCCCAATAAGCAGAAACGTCAACGTATCGGTTCTCATTCGGCTTTACCCTTCCGATTATCACATTTGTCTAGCGATGATGAAAGTGATAGGGTAATGGGTGGCCCGGATGTCAACAACTCTTTTGTGGATGATTCTCCCGTAAAACTACCGGCAGGCGGCAAGTCATTTAGGCTCCTCTTCGAAGACACACTACCAACTGCAAGTGTACCTAAGAGGCCTGCAAACATGTCCAAGTCACATTCACGAGGTTCGGACGATGCTGTAATCTCACACGGTGTCGATTCGAATGATGCCACGAGCCTCGAAGCATCTCCGGCCAATGCCCATAAAGATTCTAGACGCTCGAAAAGCCGCCAAGATAATCAGAAATCAAAGGCAGATACAAAACCTACTTTGATGTCAAAATTCATCAAGAAAGATGAGTTTCCCAGTGCTGAAGGCCGGGTCAACCAGTCGAGATCGCGTACAATTACTGCAGAGAAACGAATGCACATCAAGTCCCAGGAACCAAAGTTGTCGCTCAAGCGTGTTTTGGAGGTCGTGTCAGTGATTGATGGACTGACATCAACTTCTTCTCCACAGTTCCCCTTACTTCCGCCATCTCCCACTTCTGAAGCGGCCTCTTCAAATCGACGTGTTGCAGCAAACGGACAAGGAAAAGCCGGAACGAGCCGAAAAAAGGCCAGGGTTGCAGATGAGGAGGATGAGGAGGATGACGAAGACGGTTTAGACGAGCTTGCTGTTAAAGTCATCAATCGGACCCAGGCAGCACAGCAAGTGTTGGAAAATGCGGAAGAGCTTGACTGGGATCCAATATTACATGGCGGTGCCCGTGACCGCGATCAATATGCCGCGGCTGGCGACACGAGCCGTGACGAAAAGGGAACGTTTCATGTTGATTTACCTGAAGAGCTCCGCCTCATGTTGGCCATTTCACCATCAAGAACCCGCAACAGCAAGGAGGAGCGTGTCTTCCGCGGTTTACTTTACGGTGATCGTGTTGGCCATTATGACGCGTCGAGAGGTGGGGATATATGGGATATCGGTGAAGCGGAAGATGTCACCCGAGATAGTACCGAGGGGGAAGATGATTGGGAAGGCGAGCCTATACCATGGGAAGTCGGAGAGTTGTAGGATTTACTAGCCGTATGTGGTCGTGTTTTATTATTTCAGTGCTTTCACAGGACGTTTTCAGTGCTTCATATCGAGACGCTTCGTGCAATTATACTTGCTATCACTTGCAGGATCAAGTACAGAATGAGGAACACATGTAAAACACGTGTCTGATGCTGGCGTCTGACGCAGAGCGTGTGGTGCCCGCCGCCCCAAGCCACGCACTGCACAAAGCGAGGCAGCAGTGTACTAACGTATAATCACTCCGCGATAGCGGAAAGGTGGGACTTGACACGCCTCAGTAGACACTAACCATTCGCTTCTATTGCGTAAGGGCAAACCCTTGACGCGTGTTTCACCTCCGTGTTCGAAAGGGGAGCATGGCTCGGCTGCTGAAGTCATTGCGCACGTTCAATTTGTTATTTGAACCAGCCCTCATCCTGCTGGTGACTCCTCACATAGTCCGGATGTTACGGCGTGTGAGCGCAGTAAGTGGTTTAAAACCAGGTGTTTAAGCCAGGCATCTATGTCTTCCACCTCCTTGTTTTCCGACGCTTTAGCTTCTGTATCTCTTCGCCTTCGCCGCTCCCGCGATCCTGATAGTCAAAGCAAACACAACAATCGAACTTCCTACCGCCCTTATTCTGTCCATCAGCAGACAATGTTTCCCACTATCCTCCGGGACCCTGATGCAGCCAAAAAGCTGTTTGAGACTATCATCGACTCTCCTAATGGCCGCCGCTCCATGTCACGCCTTGCGCGGACCTGTAGAGCTATGTGCGAGCCCGCTTTGAATGTACTATGGAGGGAACTGGACTCCTTACTTCCAATTATTTCGCTGTTTCCCAACACCCTGATGAAGAGAGCCCGCCGACCTGGGCTCGGTTTGGTGAGTTTTCCTTGACAGAAAGCCTTCCGATTACTCAACTAGATACCTCCCGTAGGCCAAGGCACCCAATGCCGAGGACTGGAGCCGAGTTCTCGCCTATGGTGAACGTGTACGCCGCATTGCGTATATCGAGTCCTCTCCAAGCGTCTCTCCATCTATCTTCGCAATCATCGCGGAGAACCGACCCGTACAATACATCCTTCCTCACTTGCAGCAGCTCATCTGGCGTGTGGATACTGCTGCTGGTCTGCAACGCTGCACTATTTTCCTGAACCCAGAGCTTCAAAGTCTGGTTTTGGAGGTCAGCACGAGGATCCCACAGCTTGCCACTTTCCTTGCGGAGGTATGCAGTACCACTCAACTGTCATCCTTCTCCTTCACTTCGCCCACGAGCCTTCCCGACACATTCACTGATATTTTGAGGTCCCACAACACATTGGAAAAGTTGGTTCTAGTTGCACCTGGCGCGCTTTCATCGAGCGTCGGGCAATGGGCTGCATCTTTGCCTATGTTGCGTGTCCTCGAACTTGATCTTACTGGCCGGTCTGTCATCGCAGTTGAAGGCTTCTTTGACGACATTGTCGCTTCGGGAGCTTCCACTCCCAGTGATGCGTCGTCAGACAGTGGTGTCTTCTCTGGGGATGAGATAGACTTCACGGAAATCCGCAAGTCATCCTTGCGCTTGACCGGTGACCTGCGCTCGGGTGGCGTATTTACAGATCTCCATCAGCTATCGTTGACTGGAGAGGTTGCAAACATCGCAGTGTTCCTAAAGCATCTGACGAGCAATCTTACGCACCTGGAGCTCGTTATCGAGGACCCCCCGGATATGGCCGACTGGCAGGACCTCTCTGGTCTGATCTGCGAGCGCTTCAGCAAGTCGCTCCTCTCGTTGCGTATTAATGCAACAGGCTCATCCCGTTTCAATGAGCTTGTGAGATCAACGTCTCGAGGCGGAGACCCACCTTCCCGTCACCTTCCCCTCCAGCACTTCACCTCGCTTCCATCTCTGCTCCGTCTAGAAATAGACCTGCCAGAATCAGTCCTCTTCCATAACTCAGATCTGCAGGCTGTAGCCCAGGCATGTCCCAACATCGAGACCCTCCGGCTCTGCCCTATGGCACGTTTCCCCGCCTCGTCTGGGCCCAGCCTTACGTTAGAAGGTGTTGCGGTTCTGACTCAGGGCTGCAAGCGACTACAGACGCTTGCACTCGTGCTAGATGCCCACACGGAGTCCGAGGAGACATTTAACTCCCTCGATGTATCCTCGCGGTCACTTCTCCGCCTACACGTGGGTCACTCCGTTGTCAACGACCCTCTTCAGACAACCATTCTTCTCAGTCACCTTGCGCCCTATTTGGAGACAATAAAGTGGTTCCATGAGAAGAACCGTCCCGGATATGTCGAGGCAAACGCATCAGGCTGGCAGAAGGTTTCGGACTGGCTGCCACACATGCAAGGCATGCGCTTGATGGAGAGGGCTAGGGCTGTGCATCTTTCCACGCAGAAGCCCGAGACCCGGGAACAGAGTATTGACGCCACTGTGACGCGCATTACTGCAGACAAGTCTTTGCAGGCCAAGCCTCGTTTGGTTCAGCGCCATGTCCAGGTGTCGCCCAAACTGGTTGATAGATCAACTGAGGCTAAGCCAGAGTTGGTCTCAATGTCCATTGATGCCACACCGTCAATCATGGATACAGGCGTCGATGCTACTCCGGCGGTCTTACATCAGGCCGTCTCCGTTCGGCCTAACATGGTCTCCACCGAAGTCGATGCATCGGTTCACACGGAAACCAAAGCTATCAGTGCCATCCAAGCGCTACCCTTTGAAGAATCCAGCTCAGCTAAATACGCCGACCCCGTCTATGCCTTCCCTTCCGTCATCCCTGCAGTCCTTGCTGGACTGCTTACCTTCGCATGTCGTATTCTCACATCTTACCCTCTCACGATCCCTATGCATATGCTCGACAAATCTCTCTCCATACTCCATGCACAACCAAAAGAAGGGGACGATTCGTCCTCAGAAAAACATGAACTCAGGCCTTCTCCTGCACACTCGGTTTCATCATCGACGTCGGAGCTCCTGGATCATGATATTCCTCCTGTTTGTCTATGAATTCCTTATCGCGACAGGACGCTTTACTCATTTGGTACACGGTGCTGGCGCTTATCATTAGGGTTACTATCACGCATATTATTCTAACGCAGACTGGAATGGCATGAAATTCACGAATGCTGTGGGTGCTCAACAAGACATTAAGAAAATGGGGGAGGCGAGTATCACTCAGGGGTCATCCCAGAAATGGAAAGTCAGTGCAGAAAAGCAAATAATGCCAAACATTTTTGCGACGCGTCACTGCACGCCAAAACATGACAAGCCATATTCTAAGTCTCACTACTCAATTGCAATGGCTGAGGTTAGAAAACAGGAGAAAGACTTCACAAAGGAAGTTGACGAGCTCCTACAAGAGACTTCCGCTCTCGTCAAGGTGTGTGCAGAGTTGTATACTTACTGTTCGAACTGACGGGGTACCTTGACTTAGTCAGAGTCTGTTCAGCTGTCAGATGCCTTGGAGAGATTGCTTGCGCTGGAGAAGCAAACACGAAATGCACGTCTTGTTACTTTGACGACTTCTTCATACTGAACTTGCCATGAATAGGCCAATGATCTGCCTTCCACGACGCGGCTAGCTAAAGCGGCACTTGAACTCTGCTACGAATCCCGAGACTACACACAACTCAATAGCACCATCAGCTTACTGAGCAAGAAGCACGGCCAACTGAAAGTCGTTGTCCAGGCCATAGTCGAACAGGCAATATCGTGGCTGCCTGGAATCCGACAAGAGCAAGGTGTTGAGAAGTGGTTAGAGTTAGTTGAAACCCTGCGATCTGTGACTGAGGGAAAGGCAAGTTGATCATGTCATGGACTATAAATATATGCTCATGATATACCTCGCAGATTTTTCTCGAGACGCCCCGTGCGCGCGTGACTCTCGCTCTCTCCCATTACCATGAAACACTTTCCAAGGCTCCAAACGCCCTGGCAGCTACAATCAAAGAAACACTACAAACAGCTTCGGATCTCCTTAGCGACCTGCAAGTGGAAACTTACTCGTCGATGGAGCGGAGAGAGAAAACGGAGTTTATTCTAGAGCAGATGAGGCTATTGATTGCTGTCGCTCGATTGAAAGATGCGGAAGCTCCCGCGAAACAGGGGAAGAACGCACTTGGAAGTGGTGAGCCGGAATGGGTCAAGGCCAAAGTTGGGGGCCGCAAAGTCAACGAATCGTTCCTCAAGGAGAAAGCAAATGAGGTTTGTCCGTTCATGGACCTGACGGGCAAGACGTTTATGACTGACTGGATCTAGGATCTCAAACTCAAATATTATGATCTAATGATCCAACAAGCTCTCCATCAAAGTGCTTATCTGGAAGTAGCGAAGCATTATGAGAAGGTTTGGGATACGCCGTCGATAAAGGAGGACGAGAGCAAAAGCCGTGCCGTGCGTACTTCTTATTCCCATCAGGCCTATAATGACTGACAGGTTACGGTCTTCAGGCCCTCGAACACATCGTTTATTACGTGGTACTTGCGCCTCATGACAACGAACAATCAGACATGCTGCACCATCTATTCGCTAACCCCGCACTCGAGAAGCTTGAACTCCATTAGTGAGACTATTGTCCTTTGTTAACGTCAATACTGACTTTTGGGTAGTAACCTTGTCAAGTCATTCGTGACCCGTGAGTTGATGAGGTGGCCCGGAATTGAATCCTTGTATGGACCTTTCTTACGAACAACGCCGGTGTTCTCGGTTTCCAAGCAATGGGAGGACCTCCATACCCGTGTTGTTGAACATGTTAGTTCAATTCATACGTCTAAGTGAGTGCACTACTGATTCACGATATTATCCAGAACGTACGCGTGGTCGCACAGTATTACACTCGAATCACCCTCTCCCGTCTCACGGTTCTTCTCGACCTTACACCACAACAAACGGAAGAGACGCTTGCTCGGCTAGTTGTTTCACATACCATCTGGGCACGCGTAGACCGACCAGCAGGTATCGTCAACTTCAGGAATAAGCGCAGCGCAGAGGACGTGATGAATGATTGGAGTTCGGACATGCAAAAGTTACTTGGACTTGTAGAGAAGACTTGGATAGGGATGAACGCGGCACAGGCCGCTCAATCTCGCATCAAGGCATAGTTGTGTATTATTACTGGCGGCTTATGCTCTTGATATAATACTTTAAAACATTAACAAGTCGGTGGCCGAGAATTGCAAGGTAATGATGTCTATGGGGTTGAAGCCAGTATTTTAGCAAACGCTAGGCTCGCGGCGGCATGATCCTGCTCTATGGACTGCACAGGCTTCCCAGCTTCTGACGCAGCTGCCAGTTCATCTACTGGAAGGTAGGTCGGACGGACACCTTGCTTCCAATTCCTGGTATATTGTTGTCCTCTGTCAAAGTCTCCCATCCCATTGTTCACATCCAAGATGGCCTTCCACCTCTTGCGAGCGAGAAGAGCACCCCTGTCAAGCTCAACCTTGCGGTCTGCCGATTGGTAGACTGCATTTTCCTTCTCGAACGTCCGGTCAATTTCGGATGGGAAGACAGTGCCATAAGCTTCAGCCTCCATTCGGGCAAAGGTGTTGGCAAATTCGTGCCCAGCTCGTAGTGATCTGAACTCTGCAACAGCACGTGTGTATGCAATGCTAAGAGCCATTTTGTGGTGGTTGTGCAGGTTAACAGCAAAGTGGACAGCGCTGACAAAACGGGAGTTGTCATGTTATTCGATGATTGAATGAAAGAGGGAGTACTTACTCCTCCGGAGAAGGATTGAGTCCTCTTTGAGCCAGCCGTGTCCAACCTGTTCCTCGTACTGGATGCTCATCCTCTACTTCGCGACCTTCTACAATGCTGACAGGCCTGAATGCCTCAAAAGGATGGTCGCGAAAAAATTGCCGACGAACTTTGTCCTCCAAGTAGAATATAGGTAACGGCTCAGTCTTTGGTTTTCGCATTTTCCTACTGGATGGTAACCGACAGTCTTCGCGGACTGGGGGAGCTCTTGGAGGGAGAGGAAGGGGAGGATGTTCGAGAACTGCTTGAAACCACACGGGCTCATTCTTGATGTAATTCGCGCGCATGAGCCGTGCGGCCTGCTTGTGCACCTGTGAAGCAATTCGGCGCACCATTTTGACGAAGGCAGCGACAGTACGACAAGAACAAATTAAAGAAATGACCGTCAAGTTTGTTTGGATCACAGGCCTTTGCCAAACAACTGTCACAGACTCAACGGCACATTGATACATTAATCCTTCGCATAGATTTGGCGTTACTGACTCTCTGTAAACTCTACACCGCAAATGGACGAAGAGGAAGCTGAACTTCGTAGTCCCTTTCCCTCACCTCCATCTCACTACAACAACTATACATCACATAACCTAAAGTTACTTACTCTGCTCAAGGAACGAGTCGGGGATCAAAATGCTGATCTCGGGATAGTGAACCAGCACGAATTACTCTCAGATCAAACCGATGTACCCACATGGTCGCTGGCCCAGCTCGAGAAACCACGAGTAGACTGGGTCCTTGAGGAAGGCCACTATAGCGTCTTCGGCGATACGTGGTTTGTATGCATGCTGCTTTACGTTCAGACACAGTGTTTGATTTTTTCCCAACCAGGTGAAAGAGACCATCCCGTCTCTAGCTGAACTGGGTGGACATCAGCTCTACCCTCCTGACCCGAGTGTAGGTGAGACAGTCCTCGAGTCTCGATATGTTCGTTGTCCTGAAGTTCTTCCCTGAGATCGGCGGCCTGCGCTTCTTGCTGTCCTGAGGTCCATGCTGGTCACGTACTCCAATTTGACAAACGCAATTGTTGCACCACCACCACCACCTTCATCCTCGGCACAACCAGAATGGCAACGCCAGCTCGAGTGGATAACGATACTTGCCCAGAATCTGATGGCAGCTGCAAATGATCTACGGCCCGTCCAGGTCTTTATTCTCACACTCTGACTCGTACGGTTGGCTGATGTTTGGATAGGCTAGAGGAAATCTTGAACTCATGATGCAACGACAGCTGGAGCTGAGGCGTGAGGAAACAAAGAACATTCACTCGTGCGTGCCCCATACTATGATATAAATGTTATTGAACACGATAAGCTAGGCAATGCGATACTCTCGAAGCTCGACTGTTGGAGCTACGTTCTTCAGCTCAGGAAATGGCGGGTTCAGATCAGAGGCTGATTGCGAAACCTAGCAGTTCTCAGGTAACTTTATCTTGTGCACGTCAACGCAAACCTGACTTCATGTAGGTACAGACATCTACGGCTAACGTGTCCCTTGAAGACATGTTGCGTTGGGCAGAAGAGGTCCCATAAGATTCTCAGGTTCTCTTCTGGAGTGGTCGTGACACCTGCTCATGTTGGATGTAGTGTTCAATAATCTGCTGTGTGTATGGCCCACTGTCAGGATTTGCAAACTTGCTGACGTACGCTAGGGTAGCGAATGTGTTGGGTGGTGGTCATATCGTCCATTACTTTGTCCCTTGTTCACCATTACAAGTTGTGATACAGGTCGTATACAATTCCACTTCTGCGCTACATCCACTAGACCATGCAATGAGCCCTCGTTGTGTCACTCGCCAGTGCAGTGAAGGACTTCGTCCGCTTCATTCGAACCTTCCAAGTCCATGTGTATCTTGGTGGCGGTTCTATTTGCTACGTTGCAGCTCATTTTTTGCAAAGTCTGTCTGGTTATTCATACATTATATTTGACGTATGTGTATACTATGCTGAACACCTACCAGTTGAATGCTCCCAATACACTGTCATCACAAGGGGTACAAACCGTCGACCATTTTTTAGTACGGCACTTGGAAACAATTTGCACAACCCAAGACTCGTTGCGCAGCTCTACATTGAATTACAACATCGACCCTTTCCAAATATTATGCTTCCTTCAGTGGCGACTCTAATGCCGCACCACGTCGATTTCATCCTGGATTGTGGAGTGGGGAAAAGGCGTTATCTCTTCTGGTGCCTTATCTGAAAATATTGTGAAGTTTAGGGGATGTTTACAAGGCGTCTGGCGCAAGTACATTTCGTTAAAACTTTATTGCCTCGCTGCTCTCAGCTCGATATCATTTAATATCTCGGCGGGGACTCTTAGTGCTGCCGTGGTCCGTCCCTGGACGTCGGACCATGGTTCGAACCGGACTTTTGGACCGGTTCCCCTGTGGTTCGGTCCACGGTCCAGGTGTCAGCCAGAACCGGTCCATAGTACGGGTTCCCCGAGGTGTACCTCGCTGATATGACGAGAATTAAATCTACCCATTGATGCTATGTGGCAAGGCGCAGAATTTCACAACGGCGTAGCGTCCGCCAGGATTAAGGTAACGATCACGCTATCTCTGTAGGAGACTAACTCTACCCTTCAATTCGTCTGTATGAAGTTGTACTGTGGTATACAAGAATATTGCCAAAGCTTCTTCTAGATGTTTACCCAATGACACAGGTTTTCTGAAACAACATGGCAAACGAAATCATGATTGATATTGATATTTCCTGTGAACGATGTTGGCGAAATTCCTTGCAATATTGTGTAGTGGGTCTGATCGCGTCTGAGATCTGAGCGGCGACCCCCAAATGGGGGGCGAAAGCTCGCCCACTGCGTTCATAGCTTATTCAGAAACAGAATCCATGAACACAATCAATAGTCTTTTCTTCAAATCTGTATCATGTCCACTAGGCGAAGAATCGGCGTCAGCATCGCAACGACGGAGGCTGCAAGACGCCAACTCATGCAGCCAGTCGTTTGCTGGGAGAAAGTGTGGACCGTTCCAGAAAATGCTGCTCCAAATTCTTCTGTGAAGATCTACAAGTGGGTGAAGACAGACAAAAAACAAGTAAGTAGTCTGAGCAATTGATAGAGTGACTTCGAAATTCTAGTCAACCTTGAAGCAATTTAGTGACGATGAAGGAGAAGTGGACGAACCACTGGCGCCCCTTCCTGACGAACCTGAGATAGTAGAAGGAGACGAAGAGATGGACCAGGACGAGCCAGTTGCCTCTGTAGCTCCCGATGCATTAGCGCCTGTGGTGGACACGGAGACAAACTCAGTTAATCAGGAAATTCCGTCAGAACCTCAAACCAAACCATCCTCGCCGACACCTCCTGCACTTTCGCTCCAAGCTGCTGAACCTATATTGGTCGCAGAGGAAGTTGCAGACATGTTGGACGAATCGCTCAAAGCTCTCGATGGCAACGTGGATATCGAAATCGGTCCACACGAGAATGTCAATCCTGAAGACGTCGGAGACCTGGATATGACAGTGCTCGGACCTGATGGAACTGCGTTTGAAGGCGTCCATGATCTCAGTCAAATGGAAAGCGGCGACGCATTATTGGGTGGGCCTCTCATGGATCACACAGTTGATCCATTCGCCGTAAACCTGGATAACGATGAATCTGTTGAGGGAGCAGCTCCATGACCCTCACTCTGATTGTACCAGGTATAACTCCATGCAGTGATACATCATCTACCTGTAGACTGATTCATTATATAGTTCACTGCTTCATCAGTTGTTGCTGCTCGTGTACAGACTACTAGCTGCAACAATAGGAGACGTAGTCTGTTGTTCTCCACGCCGAAGACCCTAGAAGCGTATTTCCACTCCCGATATTAACGTAGTATCCGGTCCTGTACTGTTGCTCATACAAGAGCAGTCGAGGTTTATATTCTTCTCATTCTTAGGAGGTTGTACTATGGACGTCGGTGTTCGAAGCGGTCGAGTGTGCTCTATCGTGCTCTCTGACCTTCGTAGACGATTATCTTTATCCTCGAACTAAGTTCGAATTCTGATGCTCACCATAATAAGGGTCTTATTCTCGGCAGGTTTTCTCCGACACCGATGGCTTCAGCCGTGTGAATGGGAATTCATAATTTGAAATAGAAGAATAGAAGGACGATATCTACTCTGGCCAACGCGTCCTAATAAGGGCATTTTCCTAGAGTTGGGCCACAAGACCCTTATTACTATCGATGGCCCAGTAATGCAAATTGATTTGCACAATTGTTTCACGACTCAACCACAACACATAGAGCCTTGAAAATTAGTGCAAATTGTAGCTAGAAGCTTAAAGATTTACTCACAAAAATCTTGAATTTTTTCTGCAATGCTACACCACCAAGATATGCGACAAGCTGCCAGACAGCCAGGCTTTGGAAATAGCCTTATTAGGGATATTGGCAACTCTCGAAAAACGAACTTGCTCATGATTGTATATGAAACGACAAGACACTTCGAGCTGCTAGAAGAATATTTCCCAGCGAGAATGAGTGAGAATTCGGAAATCCGACGAAATTCACCACAAAAAGTGAGCACCATATCCACTGAGCCGCAGTCTGCATAATATTTCGCCAGCAAGAACTTGAGCGAAAAAGTGGCCAATTATTCTGACCATATATTTGGCAAAAGCATGAGTGACCAAACTGATGGCACATGAACCATTCCTGCGGCCCCCACATTCTCCTTCCCTTACACTCATGACCTCCCTCAATGTCTGTCCCTCATCAGCATATTACCTTGGTCCACCGAGCGTCATCCCCCAGTATCTTCCATGAGGAGGTGATGGTGCAACCGTTTCCTACCATGGTGTCTGTCTAACCGTATGGAGTCATGCCGATACTGAGAAGTTCAGTCATTCGTCACACTCGAACCAAGTCATGTGCGTGAGGAGAGTGCGCAATCACTAGTAGCTACTCGACAGAGAGCTCAAGTTGTGCGACACAACCATATCTCGTACGTTGTATCGTGCCCACCGTCAACAAGAAACTCGAAGAGTGGAGGTGCCTCTCGTCCTCGATCAATTGCGTCACAACGGTATTTTTTCGTATAGCGCATCTTGGTCATCCTAATTGGCTTCGGTTTCACCAGCGCTACAAGACCATGACTCCAGGCGATCTTTGTACCGAGTTCTTCCGTATGGGAACGTTCAAGATATTCTTCAAGGCCGGAGTCCTCGCCGACCTCGAGGAGTAGCGGAATGGCCTTTAGTAAGCGACTTGCAGGTCAAGCTTGCCGTGATTTGTCTGTCTCATGCTCCGCGCAGAGTCGCTCGGCACCAAGGTCGACCAACTAGAAAGAGGCTCTAGTCACCTCGTACATCTGCTGCTGAGTATGCTGCTATGATCCAGGCAGGACAAAGAAGACCAAAATTCGCACCTGCTTTCTACCATCACCGCATCTGCCGACGAGCTCTCTCGCCTGCAAAAGGAGATCGTCGAATTCCACGCTACATATGACAGACAACTAACGGAGATCCATACATCAAGGGCCGATTGTAGTTTCCGTCAGAATAAAACTTCAAGGCGTGCTGGGCGAGCTCCGCGCAATCATGGAGACCAAGTCCTCCGAAGACCCCCACCGGCTCGAAGTCGAGGAAAGCAAAGAGGAAGAACTTGCCGAGCTCTGCCCTCCGTCTTCTCAGTTACACATGGAACTCGGTGTTCTACGTGAACACGCTCTCGACAAGGAAAGCAAGCTCGTTACTGACCTAGACGTGATGCGTCTTCAGCACAAGTATCTGGATCCAGCTCACAGCTTGACGAGGCTTGAAGGAACGGACGTCGAAGGTCGTGGATCTGGAAAAAGCCAAGAGTGGACAAATCAGCACTACAGGCATTGCGATTTCGTTAGACTGATTTGGATGGTTGATTGGTGGAGACATCGAGGGCGCGAGAGGTTTTCCTCATTCCGCCATCAAGATTGGGGGAGATCATAATACCTGGCGACACATGGTGGTTGGACACCTGCGAACTCCTGGCTTGTTCCACCTCCATCGGCGAGCAGACTTCAGTGCCATTCATCCATACTCCTGCGTCATCTGTGCCTACTGATTTTTGGGGTGTTCTCGAACCGGAAGATGTCGATGTCGACGACCTGATTGATGCTGACGTATCGGCGGAGACTTTTGTTTGGCTTGACAACGATGACCTTCGTGAGGACCTTGATGAGCCCTCGACATTGCAACTGGGTACCTCGACCACTCCGACGCTCGACCTTGCGGATGCACCATGCACTCCCTATGCACTTACTGGCCATCGTAAGAACACGTCGACCTCTTTCTATGCCGAGGGAGTTTCGGTCTCGAAGGCCGTGTTTCGGCTGACATCCTTCAGGCAAAACCAACTCGAAGCTATCAACGCCACGCTGTGGAACAGAATTTGCATATGGGATATTCGGTGTAAGTACATTGTGTGTATACAGTGCATGCAGTTGCTTAGTCTCATTCTTGGCTCTGCCTCTCAGTGCCTTCGTCCTTCTTCATCCGTACTGTCTGATGATACTGATAAGTCCATTCAGAATTTGGCAATTTCTAAATGGCTTACCTAGAAGCGCTCGTGCGCACCTCTGAGTCCCAAGAGACGCTCGAGTTCCTGCATCTCCATTTCAAACATCCGGCGTTCCCTTGCAATCCATAACACCATCATCGCGCGCACCTCGTCTTGCCAGACTGGAGGCAGCGGATAGGGATGAAGCGGTAAGTTGGGTTCATAAAGTTGTTGGCGCATGCGCATTCGCGCGGCGGCCCAGGTAACGTACATCAACTCCTTCGACAACGTCAGGGTTATGGCTCGCAAATGAGTGTGCGTTACTCACCAGCTGCCCTCTGGTCATTGTGAATGTCACATCCCGAGGCCTTGGTGCTTGTTGGAGAAGGTGTTGAGGGATCTGTAGAATATTAATATAGGTGAGTAGATGTTAGAAGATTCTCGACACGCCTGGTGATTTTGGTTTACATTTTCATTTTGGTTTCCGACTCCTTCGTTAGCATCGGCTTGGTTATTCATAGTTCTGGAGTTGTAGATATAAAATTGAATCGAGAGTGAGCGAACAAATGGTTGCGCTATCAGAATCGGAGAACCGCTACGAGTGGACCCCAGTCACTGCTGATAAACGATAAACGATATATAATTGGCTGACCAGCCATCTGCATACTGGGTAGGTGTTTGCTCGAACTTATGACCTTGTTCTGGATATTTTCTCTATTAACTGGGAACTGTACGAAACCCCTGCAGGTGCCCCATATGTCTGGTGACTGCATCTTGGGTCTCAAATGATTCTGCTATTCCGAACAGACATGTCACGAGGCCCCCGGGGCCTCTGTACAGCAACTACGAACGAGGTTGCTTGGCGAGGCAAACTGGACTTTGGCTTTCCGTTCAAAATTGATACATATATCAGGGCGCAGCAACACAGCATGACGTGGACGCAATTGACGGTATCTCGTGCTTGATAGATGTAGACATCACGGACTTGCAAAGAAAAGAAGAGAGATTAAGCACAGATTTGACGCTCGGTAAACCATCAGTCTTGATCATTCAACCTATGAGGCCAGTAATAAGTCCAGAACTCGTCGCGACCGTTACCTCTAATGTATGGTCAGCTGTGTTTCACTTGGATCGCAGATAATTCACCTTTTGATGATGTTGGTGATGTATGGAATGTCTGCTTCTGTGAAATCCACAACTGCGTGCTTATTTCCTCGAAACACGGACCCCTCGGGGCGGTATGCGGGACTCGTAATCCAGTATAACCTGCAGCAGACGAAGGTGGAGTCCCCCAGCGACCTGGGACAGTCACGGAGTCGTCATCCGCCTGGAGGAATACAAGACGAAGCTGGCAACCGGAGACATTGTAATGGAAAGCAATGCCAGCTTCAATTGTAAACGACGTATGGTTCCACGCAATGGGATACACCACTCACTATACGTATTTGTCAATGACCTGTAGGGAAGCCCTGACGTCGACTGCGTCCGCAGAAATCTTGCTTGTCAGTAACGCTTGTGCATACGCGATATATCAGTTGGTTGCAATGCGTTGCGAAACTCGATGTTGACAAGTGCAGGTAAAATTCAATAGAATGGCAGAGAAAGACAGTAATGAAGGACGGAAACAGAACTTGAGGAGTTTCGCAGAGACATCACGGATGACACCCTACTATGACACAGTCTTCAGATGTAGATAGCAGGATGCGTTTCGGCGCTGAGGGAGGCGGTGGCGAGTTACGCAGGACACTGGTCGAGTGAATGTTCGCTGTGTTGTTCAAATCTCCCAAAAGAAAGAAGTGTGTGCGAGTCTATTAACGGATGGGCCATCGAGGTCCTCGACGCCAAAAAGTTCTACAGCTAGGGTGACAGTCAATTGTGTTTGGCTTTTAATAAAATTATTCAAAATTTCATTAGAATGACCATTGACGGCACCAGTGTGGTCATACTAGTACTGCGAATTGGATTAAATGCTGATAAGTCTTGGGGCTCAGTAGAATGCCGAACGCTGGCATACGCACTGATCAGGAACACTTGTGTCAGTCATTCCTCCGTACCGTCGAACAGGTGTTGATGTCGTCCGGTATGAAGATTTGATGTTGACTCGAACGTTGCCGGACCTACTTTCAGAGTCCGAGCCTTAGTACTATTAGTACATACCATTCCAAGTCAAGCTTCTTATTCTCATCGCATAAAACTTGGCCGCAGTAATTACGTGGTCGTCGAAGGACTCACTCAACAACCATTATCATCGCTCACAGTATATCATGGGATCGGACACCCTACGATCCATCGTCCTCGCGAGAAACCCCACCTTGATCTTTGGGGCTAGCGAGTTTCTGCTAGCATTCCTGTCACTAGGCCCCACGCCTACATTTGTACCATTGGTACTACTCCTTACCGTTCTGCGCATCCATGGGCTGCGCATCGCGTGCCGAAGTACGCGAATATTAGAGCTAATGTGCTCTTGGGTAGCTGTGACGGTCGGGGCTTCCTTGGCGCATTACTCTTCCGCATCCGATGCACTGTCGAGTTCGACACAGTCATTTGCTGCGGTCGCAGTCATGTCTGCAATTACATACGTATTGGCAATCCTGCCGTTTTATGCAGATATCCGCCTGCATCGTAGGCTCCCAACTTTCTGGGCTCAAGTGACTTTTTTACCTGTTGTATGGGCGACGACGTGGGCCATTGTATCCCACATCTCCCCTGTGGGGAGACTCCTAAATTGGAGTCCAGTCTCTACCTCCCACCCTTTCGGATGGCTACTACCGTATACAGGGCCGATGGGTATCGACTGGGCCGTCGGTGCCTGTGCGGCTCTGTTTTCGGAAGTTGCTGCTGCTTGGCTAATGGGTACTAGCAACGATGAGCAGCCCGTTCAACTATTTACTTCGTCCACTGAAGCCCCGCAATCCAATAAGCGCTCGCGGAGTCTTCTCGCTTTAGGAACACTCCTTGTTGCACTTGCCCTCCCCTCTCTACATGTCATCACACCCGCTAGAACTGATACGATCTTTGATACTTCACCACTGGGTGTTGCCTGTGCCCTCCCACCCGTTCACAAAGGTCAACATCCAACTCTTGGCGACTTCATCACCGAGACCAAAAAATTAACTTCGCAGGCCAAAGTAGTTCTGTGGCCCGAAAGCGCGGTAGTATTCAATAATCAAGGGGAGAGGGAAGTCGCATTCGAAGAGTTGCGGAAGAATATCCAGAAATCTGTTATTGGAGTCGCTTTCGAGGAGTCCGTCCCCCGAGATCCGTCAAACCCCGGTGGATCTCGCATGCGGCGCAACGGACTTGCCCTTGTCCATGAAGGACAGAAGAAGGGCGAAGAAGTTATACAATATTACAAACGTAACCTGGTACCATGTACGTCCTTCTATGTAAACCTGACCTTGCAGAGCGTTTGACAGCCAGATAGTTACAGAATCCTTTTCAGCAATTCCTTCCACCGAGCCTCCTGCGATATACGACTTCGAGCTTGGCCCTCCAAAATGGGCGACGAAACCTGAATGGTCCTCGCCACCCAACTATACCCGCCCGGTTCCTATCACATCATCCATATGTCTTGATTTCGCGTTCTCCTCTGCATTCAGTTCGCTTAGCTCCAGGCCGGCTTTGATCCTGGCACCGGCTCGCACGTGGGACTCCACCGTCAGTCTCGCAATGTGGGAGCAAGCAAAGTCACGTGCAAATGAAATCGGGAGCATGGTGCTATGGTGTGATGGAGGGGCAATGGGAGTCAGTGGCGTTGGAGGTGGGGGCATTTCGGAGATTATGCAACTTGGCTCCGGATCGTGGACTCGCACAATCAGCTTGCAGTTCCCCTTCGACCAAAGAAGGACTGTCTATGCCGTGGTTGGAGACTTTGGTGTGCTCGTTTTGTTGGTGGTGATCATGGGCGGAGGCTCAGTTGCTTGGCATCTGCCGGCACTCTCCGGCAGCCGTTCGGTCCTGCAAGCAGTGCCGCTCTTACGGCGTCTCTTCCCTGGTAGACGAAGGGATCAAGAGAACCTGATTGATGCTGAAGTGCCGGGGGAGAGGCAGAGCCTACTGCGCTAATCTCCCCTGCAGTATTGTGAATGAGAACTCGTTTTTTGTTTGTTTTTTTGTTCTGCTTGCCCTGTGTACTTATAGCTACCGATTCCAAGTCCAAGTTACTCTGCTTAGCACGAACACAATTCTTTATATCAGCTGGTTGTTTTCCTCAGATCAAAACAATGAAAATGATTGATATTTGATAGCTGAATCAGGAGACGCCCACAGCAGGAACGATCATGATACTATTTTCCCCCGTTCTCGTCCTAATGACTTCTCACATACGTCTCTCGCTTGCATCCGATCATCGCAGCACACATCACCAAGGTCCCTGCTGGCCTGGGTACCTTCAATTTGAATTGGATGTTTGGGGCCTTGCTTCATTCTCCGGCTGGACCTCAGGCTCGCCTTAGAGCCGCACGTTGCGCAGCTGCTGTAAAGACGTGTCTGCAAAGCATCTACAGGGGCCATCCAATACGAGAAAGTCGCGCGCTTCTTTTGTAAGAAGGGTTTCTGATATCGTTCCTATAAGCAGATATGATCCGGACGTCTCATTGCGCCCAAGCATGTGTAGGGGCGATGCCGGGTTCGAATATTACGATTTGTAGAAAACCCTGAGCTTACCACGAGCGAGTATAGCGCACGATCACGAAGCCGCTGCAATCGTCACGCGAGGTCCTGACGACATGGAACTGTCCGCGGTTTGCAGTACGCAGTGCTATTGTTGTAGATGCTTGGGAGGAGTAGAGGGGCTGGTGAAGAAGGCCTACGTGAAAATAATGTCCGCTCAAGCTGAAATGTGAGCTCATCTCCGATGAATATATGCCATGTTGGAGTTGCTCGGACATTGAACCAGTCGACTTGGGGTTTAGATGGAGATCTCTATGAAGAATATATGATATCAGAAGTTGAAAACACTGCTTTGCTCCGATCGACAAGCCCGAGTGTCACGGTGGTAGAGCTAGATTGATGGAAGCAGTTTTGACAATTGAAACCGGCAAGGTACTGCGTATCTGATCAGAACATATAAGAAGACGGGTACTTTTTGTGTCATGGCGGACTTAGTACCGCTTCGAGTCCAGTATCATCCAATGCATTGGATTATTGAATCATCGTTTCTTGCTTAATACGGATGTCATTCATGATATCACGTACTAAGTAATTTATACCACGATCTACTGCGGTATGGTGCATGAAACCCGACCGTTTGCCTTGTGATACTGCGAGAAAACGTTATCAGCGCGAGTGCGTTATCAGTATGAGAAACCATCATGGTGCTGATACCCAGTGATAACAATACATGCAAGGTAAGCGGTTGTAATGCTTCTATCATCGTGCGCAGCTCAACTCCAAAGGTTGTCTAGGAAGAGAACGACTTTGGGGGGCGTGTTTTTCCTGATCAAGAAAGAAAAGGTGTCATCGTGGGCAATGCTTTGATTAATCTGTATGTGAGTGTATCAAACCTATTTTGAGTCGAAATGAGCGCTCTGTAGAAATGGAGAATGATGAGTAGCTTGTCAAGAGGCAGTACTGCACTTCTGATGAGTCCATAGCTAGTTAGTTGCAGTGACTGAACGTACTTAATAATCTAGACAATGCGATTACAGTCAAAGCTTATGTAACAGTGTGCCGATCGCGCCTCGAGGCAGGTCAGCGGAAAACTAACAGGTTTAACAGAAAACACGAGGATAAGGACTGGTAAGTAATTCAACCAGATGTAGCTTCTCCTACGTCGTCAGGAATCCACGTTACAATCACGCTGACACAGCGCCTGATTTTCTTCAAAGGTCACTCCTCCCAGCTCTAATTCTCTTCTCCTCACAAGTCACAAGGACTTGGAGCAGATACAACGTCGCCATCAACTTACTTCCAGTCGAGACTACCTCGCGGCCTTCGAGGCTCTTTGCGCAGCTCGGCTCATACTCTTGATCCAACTCGTTTGCTCTCCCGCACTTTCAAAGGGCGAGGCAACCAAGGTCTCTTTTCAAAAAAGCACACAGAGACTACCTTAGAGCAGGAGCAACAACGACAAGGTGAAGAACTTGAGGAGTTTGAACTTGTAAATCGAGAAGATCTTCCAGTCAGTCTCGACGACGAGTCTCTAGCTCGTCCTGATCCAGAACCGTCAACCGGCGAAACGTGCAATAAGCCCTCCTCTGATCCCTCCACCCCTCCTAAACGACCAGCACCTTCTCGTACCAAATCCGCTTTATATCGCCTCAAGAACTTATCCAAGGCGTCTCTTCACTTGTCGGGTTTCAATTCCGGTCGGCAAACAGTCCAGTCCAATCGGGCAGCGGAAGTATCCGACATATATCTTGCATTCCCAAGACCCCCAACTCACATACCCACTCCGATCGCTTCGGCCTACGCAACATCCTCACTTGCGAGCTCGACACTCATCACTGCCAATCAAGAACTCGACGAGACTTGTTCTACCCTCCGTGTCTCCCCTCCATTTACAAACGAGTTCATTCTTCGCAGTCCTCCTCTCGTTGATTCACCTTTCGACTTCGACGCAAATCCAGAACTTTCTAGCACTCCCACTCAGATATCTGCGCCATTTACCTCTCCTACTACGCTTGACTTTGACGTCAGAAGTAGTCGTAGATATACTGGCTCATTGAAGCGCTTCAGGTCTTTATCAAGGTTATTACACAGTCCACTCGACTCTCGCATTTCAGACGTTTCATCCGGTAATACCATTAGAAGCAGGAGGAGAGTATCAAGCAAAGCAACCTCACTCTCCCTCTCTGTTCAATCTGCATTCACAGAACCCCTCCATTCTTGCCCTTCGAATCCTGTCATCGAGCCTGCAGTTGAGAACTCTTCAAACCCTTCTGAGGCCGCACTTGTCGTTTTAGCTCGCAAGGCAGCTATAACAGGTGAATCGTCATCACCAGCACCCCTTCCGATTCCACCACCTGCCAGTGACGCCTTACATCCAGAGCAGGTCGCGAAACCATTTCCTTCCGTTACCAAACACGCGTGTGTTGACCCATCGGAGTTTACTGCATCACCATCACCATTCACCACCAGCTCACTTCTCAGCCCGTCATCCCGCACATCATTTATTCCACCATCCCCTTCTTGGCTCAGTCGAAACGTACAGAACCGTGATCTATTTGACTATCGTGCCATCTTTCCGCCTTCAAGGATATCTCTCCTGACAGATTCGGAGCACTTAAAAATTCCGGAGATCAGCACATATTTCACTTCTGCACTTTTTGCTCCCGACTCCCCTAGACCCTTACCCGTTCCAATATCTCTCCTTCCAGTTCCCCCACCACAACCTCTTTACGCTCCTGAATCACCTTGCAAGCCCGTTCTCCAGCGAGTAGTCACCGATATTTATTTGGAGACACCTGAAGTAGATCGGGATTCACTTGCAACTCCGCGTTCCATTGCAGAATCCTCTTCCGGTGATTCCTGCACTTCGAGCATAATATCAAGTTCTGCTTTCGTATCGGCGCAACCCTCACCTTCCCCGATATTCTACCATCGATTATCAACGGTCAGCCGTATCAGTGCAGAGCGCCATCGCCAATCAATCGCTGCTCGGAAGACTCGTCTCAGTAGTTCTGGTTCTAGACGTTTATCATCCAAGGAGAATAGACAGTCTCTTAATCCTCTTTTTAAGGCAAGAGATATTTCTTATTTACTCTCAGGCATCCTGATCACCTGGATTCACAGGAGTTATCTCCTTCGTCGTCTTCTCGAAAACATTTCTCACCCTCATCCAACACTCTCAATCTCAGCGTCCCCACTTCACTTTCCCCACTTCCATCGTAAGTCCACATCATACGCCACCTGAAACATTTGGCTGACCTTCGTTCTGATAAAGCGAACACTCTTCCAATTTACACGCTATCTTCACCCCTCAAACACAAGGTTCTGCCCCACTTGATTCGATACCTTTACCAAAGGATCTCACGACACTACTCGAAACTTTACGTCTTGAAACAAGCCCTCCTCCTAATCGTCAAATAATGGATTTTACAGCGAAGAACGCTGAGCACGTAGATTTTGGTGGAGAAGTGGACTACTCTGGACACCAGTGGTTCCAGGAGCCGCCTCCAAGGCCAGAGGTAGGTTCCTACTACCACTACTACCAACCAAGTCAGACGCTAACGCCTCGTGCAGCCTCAGCCTGTGGTCGAACCATACATCCCAGAACAAAGCGTCATCATGCAAAATGAAGCATTCGGCTTTGCACTGGGGGCAGCACCTAACGTTCTCTACGGTCGTTACAAGCAATACGGCCAAGTAAGTTTCCCTCTTCTCCAAATCCCAACCCAGTACTCATGCACAAGAACAGCTAGGCGTGCTAGCATGGTGTTCTGAATTCGGAGAACTGATCGACAGCTTGAAAGAGCTAGGGTTCCGAGGCAACATGTTCGTCACAACACGCACGCAGGCTCTGCGTACCTGCGAAGAAATCCTCAAACTCAAACTCGACATCGAGATGCAGATCATCTTAATGTACCTTTCATCACAAGTCGCACGATTGCGTCGCTTCCTCGATGGAGAACGCCAGTGGGACGATTACCCCGCGCCCAAGTTTCCGTTGCCGTTGGACTATCGGCAGTTTGGTCCCTCATAATGAAATTGTGAACTTTGTACACTTTTCTTTCGTTTTACTTACTCTTGTTTACTTTTGCTCGTTTTTCCAATGTTTGGATTGCGGCAAATCTCGTTTGTTGGTCCGGCTCATGTGCATAACGTCCACATCAAACTCTCTCATAATTGCATTTTGCATATCTCCTGTATCAAAGCGAATTGTACTTATAACGAAATTCGATCGTTTTCATACTTTACAAAGAGTGAGGAAATCATGATTGTAAATACATAATAGTCGAAGCATTGCGCTCAATTAATCGAGCTGGTACATAAAATGTTTCCAGTCCAAATCAATAACAAGTGAGTAGTAAGACAAAGTGAATGAAAAAAGAACATCCGCCTAACTACAAAGCCCCAAGGGCATTGAAGAAATGAAGAAAAACAGATTGCAGTATGATCTAAATTAGTACTTGTATCTGAACGCTGAAATGCGTGATGTTGAGCATGCGCAGTGTGGTATATCAAGGTGAGGGGTACGAGTGGGTAAGTTACTTGTTCGTCCAATAATCCAAGGAAGTTCCACTGCCTCGATCTGCAAGCGTTGACAAGTATGCGGGTTGATAGGATGATTCACGAGGGGGATGTGGTAAAGGGTTCTGGCGAGGAGAGTCTGCTGGGGGCTCTGTAGAAGGGAACGTGAAAGAGTTGTGGAGGGATCGGTAAACAGACTGGTGGGAGGCCTGATGAAGCACCTGTCCATACGGGGACGATGCAGTGTAGATAATTGGGGGAGGCGCAGAAGGCATGTTGGCATAAAACACGCTCGCGGGCATAGGATGTGCTTGGAGCGGCTGAACGAGGTACGACGTGTGACTCGAACCGTGCCCAGAGGCATCTACTCTGAACTCTCCGTTGACCTGCGGTGAATCGCGACTGGACGGCGAGGCAATCATGTTGGACTCCTGGTGATTCATGCTTCTGCCCTTCCATAAGCGATCCATTTCCCATGCCTCGCGTGCGCGAAGGGCATTCATATCTGCAGCAGATGGGAGTTCCGAAATTGGACGGGTTGTGTTTGAAGGCATGCGTTCGACATGTGCGATACCAGAAATAGGACTCGGAGCAGGTCGGATGGGCTTTGGGTTGTGGGAGTCGCGTGGCCGGTCATCGCTCTTGCGCTGACGAGGTGGCTCGCCTTGAAGCATAAACACCATCGGCTGATTAACGCTCGTACGGGAGGTGGTATCGAAACTACGCGCTCGCGAAGGACGTTCCAAGAGGGTACCGGAGTCGGCTGTTTCTGGTTTCGCCCGTTTCGTTTGACCTTGACTACTACTACCCGCACGTCTCTGGTTCTCAACAGCTTCATGAGCAGCTCTATCCTGCCTTCGTTGATCCCTCCTACTGCTCTCGCGATCCTTCGTCGATGACCGCGACGACGGCTTTTCGACCCTCTCGCTCTCATAGTAATTCGTTGAAGACCGCGACGATGGCTTTTCTACCCTTTCCACCCTTTCGCTCTTTTCTACAGGCTTCTCCCTTGTCCGCCTCCGGCGAGGAGCGTCAGAAGAATTGACGACAGTCCATTGCTCACCCTCAGCAGTGATAGTATTATCAAACGATGAAACCTTATCAGACGGGTTCCTCACCAACTTGAACGTCTCCGTCTTCCGGCTCGTTGTGGAGTTTGACTTGGCCATGCGTACTTCACCATCGCCCTTCTTGACGGGAGATGTCTCCCGTGAGGGTGCCCTGCTCGGTATCCTTTCGATTTCAGGCAATTCAAATGGAAGGTCTGGGTGTAACTCGTCAGGGTTATGTGGTGTAGGTGGGTTGACAAGGATTGATGCCCTAGACAAGGGCGAGTCATCCGACGTTGATACAATGGCGGCGGTGGCGAAGGAGTAAGCATGAAATGTTTTGACCTCCGGGGCTGCCACGGGCGAGGTCAACAAGGAAGGCGCGCCCATCGACAAAGAGGGAATAGACGGGGCGCGGCGATGGGTGGATAACGGTGGTAGTGACTGAACACTCGCGGGAGAGCGAACCGCATCAGGAACAGAGAGTGAAGGTGCAGGCGCAGGGCTTTTGCGTTTGACAGGCGATGTCTTGCTAGTGGGATGAGCCACCGACTCCCTGCTGGGGTTCCTATCGTGACGGTGCTGCACGGGCTGCAGTAGCGGTAAAACACTTATGTGAGGGGAGTCCTCAGGCGGCAACGCAAGGCTTAGCCTGATCGGCGTACTCCCTCCCGTACTCGGCGCATCTGGGTTTGCTATCGTCAACCGTCCAGGTGAAAATGGCACCTCCAACGAGATAGAGGACCGATAGTCGGGTATCTCGCGCTCCAATTCTGGCGAAGGACCCAACCCTTCCGTTGTCTGTAAGTCAATTTCTATCTGTGGCGGCGGTACACGCTTGGATGGATCCGAGTGCTTCTTCTCCTTCTCTGGAGAAGGCTGTCGTTGGGAGAAAAAAGAGCGGCGAGGCTCAGAAGGTGCAGCAACTTCATCCTCTGCTCGTTCGCTGATGGTAGGTCCCACGTCTTGAGTAGACTTGGTCAACATGCTGAACTTCCTCACCAGTCGACCTAAGACACTTGTTCGTCGCTCCTTCTTTGAAGAATGCGTTGATAGAGCTACAGTGGATGTATTAGGCACGGAGGTGGGCAAAATAGTGGAGTGACGACGCGCAGATGTATCCGGCACTTGTAACGAGTCCTGTCCACTGAACAGGTTGCCCAACACGGGTTTTCGGCGTTTACTGAGTTTACGGGTGATGTTCGGTTCAGATGGTTGAGTGTGCAGTGCGGATGTAGATTGAGATAATGGAGATGGGGTGACTGTCTTACGACGAGTCGGTGTGCCATTCATGCTTGATAAACGAGAACGAGAGCGACCCTGAAGAGGAAGATGAGTAAAGATATGAGAGTAGAATAGAAGCCACTTGCCTCGGGAGGGTCGACTGAGACGGGACTTATATTTGTGCCTGTATCGTACGGGGACTGGTGATGCCAGTGAGTACCCCAGGGGTCAGAGGCGTCGAGCAAATCGGCATTATCCTGTGAAGTTTTTCTGCTGCGAGGTTTGCCACCTGATTCTGGGATGCGAATCTGAGAGGAAGAGGGAGTTTGAAGGGAAGTGCCAGAGGGAGTGCGGCTCGGGCCAGGCAAGCGGATAGAGTCCTCTGAACGGTCGTTGAGAGTGGAAGCCATTGGTGGAAATGAAGGAGAGAAGACGGACGGAGGACGATTACTAGGATTGAGCTGAGCAGGGGGAATAAGGTGGTAGTTCTTGTACCACTTGGGACCTGTTGGATTATGCAGAGGATATTTTATCCTATAAGATGAAGTGTTTGCAGCAGCCATGCCGTTCTCTTTCTTGAACCAAGCTGGTAGTTCACCTAGAGGATCTGGTATTATTGAACGAGAGATGAAAGCAGAAAAATCGTGGTCTTCGTCTGAAGTGTCGTTTGCGAGTTTTGAGTCCATAGAGACTAGAGATTGAGAAGATTGGTGGTCCAGGTGTTTAAGTGCAGGTCCAGCGGCTGGTACCAGTGATGCTGCGGCGGTCTTCTTTGTGGATTTTCTTTTCCATAAAGACCTTCCTGGTGTATTTTTTGAGGACCTTCTTGAAAGTTTACGCTGTAATTCAGATTGTTCTTCCATGAGTTCTTCATGGGGGTTTGTTGCAACCAGACGACGGTCAAACACGCCGGCGCCTTGAATCTAATACAAGGGAAAAAAGAAATTAGCGATCGCGTAACGCGGGAGAACAAAGAGAACCGTGAGCCGGTCGGTTGACTTGGTCCATCAATTGTTACCTCTTCAAATGGTTCAAGAACGTTTGAGAATACTGGATTTCTGTAATTCGACATGATAAACCCGAATCTTGTGTCAGGCGTCAATTACTAGCTCCGTCTCACTATTTATCATCCATCACACTCATCTTTTGCGATGAGCACGCAGATCTTAATTCTTGGCAGCGGAGGCAGAGAACATGCTCTCGCATGGAAACTTGCCCAGTCCTCTACCGTAAAACATATATTTGTATGTCCCGGTAATCCAGGATCTGCTAAAAATCAAAAAACTTCAAATCTTCATTTTCCTCTTATCCACCCTTACAACGATCTCGTCGATTTCGCCGTAAAAAACAAGGTATTTTCTCTATCAACTCCATCTGATATCAATTCTTATCCGACTAGATCGATCTCGTAGTACCCGGTCCAGAAGATCCTCTCGTTCTTGGCGTAGAAAAATGCTTTCGTGACGGTTATTATTCCCCTCCCCGCTCATCACCTTGTATCTACTCATCTTTTATCCAGTTGGCATACCCGTATTCGGTCCCACAAAGCTGGCAGCCAGGATGGAAGGATCCAAAGCCTTCTCCAAGGCATTCATGCACCGTCATGCTATACCCACCGCTAAATTTAGAACTTTCTCTTCTTCTCAACTTCAGGACGCCACCGACTACGTTCAAACATGTGGCCACCCTGTCGTTTTAAAAGCCAGTGGCCTTGCAGGCGGAAAAGGCGTCCTTATTCCCTCCTCTACTGATGAGGCTATCCAAGGTTTGCGATCTATCATGCTAGACAATGCTTTTGGATCGGCAGGTTTGTCCCTACCGTTTCTTTACCTATAAATACAATGATACCATTTCGTAGGCGATGAGGTTGTGATCGAGGAACTTCTTCAAGGCCCTGAGATCTCTGTGCTCGCGTTTTCTGATGGGTACACTATCGTACCCCTACCTGCCGCACAGGACCACAAACGTATCGGCGAGGGGGACACCGGCCTCAATACTGGAGGCATGGGCGCCTATGCCCCTGCCCCTGTGGCAACACCTGCAATCATGGATCGTATCATGACCGAGTCTCTACGTCCCACTATCGACGGCATGCGCAAAGAAGGTATATCCTATCTCTTTTCTAGCCCATCTCCCGCTCACCTTCCTCAGGATTCCCTTTCGTTGGCCTCCTCTTCACAGGCTTCATGCTCACTACCGACGGGCCCAAGGTCTTGGAATACAACGTGCGTTTTGGGGACCCCGAAACCGAAGCACTCATGATGCTCCTGAGCGACGACGTCGATCTCGCTGCAGTCCTTCTCGTGCGTCCATCCATCATCAGCTTTTCCGAAAGGCTGTTGATTCTCCTATCCAATAGGCGTGCGCAGAACGCCACCTAGATTCTGTCCAGATCAACACGCGTCCAGGCTTCTCAGTCTCTGTTATCCTCGTTTCGGGAGGATATCCCGAGAGCTATGCCAAGGGGAAGCTAATCCAAATTGGCGAGGTCCCATCTGGTATAGCCTTTTCTATTTATTGATCTTGGGTGATCGATTAACCTTTTATGTTAGATGTCGTGGTGTTCCATTGCGGAACATCGATGAGCGGAAATGATCTGATCACATCTGGTGGCCGTGTTATGGCAGTAACATGCTCTGCACCAACCCTGGAACAGGCTCTTGCGCAAGTTTATGCGACTGTCGACAAAATCTCATTCGAGGGCAAGTTTTACAGGCGAGACATCGCACACAGGCATGCATCTCATCCATCGGATCATAACCAAAGCTGACACATTGTAGAGCGCTGACATCATTAATTCAAGTTCCATCAAACGGCCTGACATATGCGCAGGCCGGAGTCTCAGTAGATGCCGGAAACGAGCTTGTGGAAGCCATCAAGCCATATGTGCGTGCTACTAAGCGCTCCGGCGCTGATGTGGAAATAGGGGGTTTTGGAGGTATCTTTGACCTCAAAGCGACCGGCTACAAAGATCCCGTGCTGGTCAGCGGGACCGACGGCGTGGGTACGAAACTTCGTATCGCTGTCGATGCCGGTATCCACCATCTGGTCGGTAAGTGGGTCACATCTGAGTCGCTAATCAAGTATGACAACTCTATTCCCAGGAATCGACCTCGTTGCTATGTCAGTCAACGACCTGCTTGTGCAGGGCGCTGAGCCGCTTTATTTTCTCGACTATTACGGATGCAGCAAACTGGACGTCGCAACTGCCGCGGACGTCATCAAGGGTATCGCACAGGGCTGCCAACAAGCCGGCTGTGCCTTGATCGGTGGAGAAACGGCAGAGATGCCAGGGATGTATCAAGATGGTGAGAGTGTCCTCCACCCAGGGAATCCACCCCTTATCATAACAAAACAAACACAGGCGATTACGATCTCGCAGGTTTCGCAGTCGGCGCAGTCGAGCGTAGTTCGATCCTCCCTCGTGCGGATATCATGCCAGGAGACGTCCTCCTCGGAGTCGCTTCTTCTGGAATCCACTCGAATGGGTTCTCGCTTGTTCGAAAAGTCATCGAGATGACAGACCTGTCATACTCCTCGACGTGTCCGTGGGACGATGGAAAAACACTCGCGCTCAGTCTTCTGGAGCCGACTAGGATATACATCAAGCAAGTCCTCCCAGCTGTACACCAAGGACTTTTAAAAGGCATGTCTCACATCACAGGGGGTGGCTTTATCGAGAACATCCCGCGGGTACTACCAAAAGGAACGGGCGCATTCATCGATGTGTCGACTTGGCAGCTCCCCCCTGTGTTCCGGTTCTTGATGCAACGTGGGGGGATCGCGCCTTTGGAAATGGCTCGTACGTTCAATAATGGTATTGGGTTGGTGCTTATTGTGGGCCGGGAGGATGTGGATAGGGCTGTGCAGGTCCTGCGAGAGACTGCCGATGCTGCTGTTTATCGAATTGGTGAGGTGACGGATAAGAGTGGGGTTGAGATGAGGAATTTGGAGTGTTGGAGTCCTCGATAGCAAAATGCTTGATTGTATGCACCGCTGAAACGTAGCAGAAACAAATACAGTCAATTCGTCCGCATTAGTACAAGTATCAGGATGCATTCACACTACATTTGCTCGATAACGAGACGCGAGAGCGCCTTGTATTTACTTTCGCGGGACGGTGTCTCGATCATAGGTACAGTATGCATGAAAACATTGCGATATTGATACTGAATGTGAGTAAGACATGATATGAGATGGGAGAGGGAGTCAGTGTCGAAAGTAGATGTAAATAGTATGTGTACCCCAGCAGACAGATCAACACCAGTAGATAAATGAGACGAGCGCAATGAGAGAAAAAAATCGGACTCTTCTAGATATCAAGGGTACTGAGTGAAAAAAACTGTAATGCTGTATTGACCAGACAAAAAAAAAGACAAGTGTGAAATCATGGTAATGGATAGTTAGTATATGCGGAAAATGATCCAGAAACAGGAGAAAAATATGGCAGCAAGATAAATAAATGGAGTCGGATGAATGAACCAAGAAATATCAGATTAAAGTAAAGCGAGAAACCCGATGATGACATAAATGTAAAGATAGGTCCGTTTTACGCAGAGACAGACACTTCCTTTACAACTTCAGGCGCGGTCCCCGTCGCCGCAGCTGCAAAAGAGAGGGGCAACTTGGCGGGGGGTGGGACAATAGCAGGCGTGACATTAGGTTGTACGCCATTGACCCCAGCAGGCTTCGATTCCTACGAACCAATCAGTCCAGTACACAAGACTACTACTAATAAAACTTACAGCCTGGTTTTTTACAGAATTCTGTTCTGGAGATGCAGCACGAGTCACTGGGTCTTTCGCGGTTTCTTTGCGTGCAGGCGCAGGCGCTTGAAGTACTTGTGCTGCCGTCGGACCGCATGACCCATTGACAGAGCTTCTCGACGAATTTGTCGAACCGCCAAGTACAGGAAACTCATCTGCATTGGGAACCCTCTGCTTTGGGGCAAATTTTTTCTCCGCTCGAGACGGACCATTGGACTTTGTTCCCCTCGAGCGGCTGCCGTCTGTCGATTGAGATCGGCTAGAAGCTGCGGTGCCGTTCACGCGAGGCTGGGCATCCTGTAAACCATAAACAAATCAGGGCAAATCCCAGGATTAGAATTATAATCATACTTCTCGGACGTTCAAGTGAGCCATTTTTTCCTCAATCGTAGGGATACCGTTCGGTCCGTTCCGCGCGTTATCCTTTGGACGTGGACCCCGCCCATTAAAATGAGGGGGATGAGTGTTCGTAACGTCAGGAAGAACATGAGGGAAACGGCATTCATCGCTAAGTGTTTCTATTGAATATATAGCAATGAATAGTGGAATCATGATGACTCACCCATTCCTGCACCTGCCTGCAGGATAAAAGAGGCAAGCCGGTTTACGACTTCCGCCAAACGATCCACGCCTCATACTACCCCGGCGATTTTGATTCACGCCCTGGCGGAACACTGGACCGTGGCCAAAGCCCTCAGTATGAGGAGGTGGCTTTGGCCCACTATTGGCTTCATTGAATCCATGGTGGTGGTGCGGGCCGTGAGATTGATATGGTACAGGATCTTGACGAACAGCGAATGGAGGGGCAGAAATTGGGCCATTCGGATATACTGTCTGCGGCGATTGCGGACCCGGGGCACTAGGTGGTTGATGGGGAGGTGGAAGCGAAGGGATAGAAAGTGGAAGAGGTACATGAGATGGTGGTGGGTACGATGGTGATACAGGTGATACAGCACCATATGGTACAGGTGCAGGTGCAGCGGAAGGGCTGAAAGGAACCTGGACAGGCGATATCGCTTCTGAACCAGATCTGGTGTGAACCATCGGTGGGTGTGGAGGAGTATGAACGGGACCTGCGGTAGGCGATGCGGGGTTGATGTGAGGAGGAACCGAACTTGGAGGGTGATATGTAGGTGGAGGTACAGCGTAATAATTAGGGGCATAAGGTTGTTGAGTCATTGCATCATAAGGAGCGGGATACTGTGCAGGGGGCGGCGGCGGGGCAGAATAATACGGGCCAGCTTGAGGATGCGCAAAGAGACAAGAGGAACCGTAACGACAAGCAGGAAAGTATCTGCAAGGAATGAAACGTGCCACTTCCGGCGGAGGGAGGTTTCCAAAACCTCCGTTTTCACCCATTTGCATGGGGGGCTGCGCATAATACGCAGGAGAGCCATCGGGCAATGTCGGCATAGGGGGTACGCCTGGGTAATAAGCATAAGGTCCAGCGGGGACAGAATAGTAGGGTTTTGCAGGATTAACCATCGAATCCTGGGTGTAGCCTTGCTCTTGTGCAGGTACACCATTGGGTGCAGGCTTGTTTTGGGCATTATTGAACAGCTCCAAGATCGCAGCATCAGATGTGTACATTTCTGGCCGGCCATGCACAGATGCAAAAGAAGGATCGGCACCTGATCATACAATCGATGAGATAATCGCAATTTGACGCGTGAATTATATTACCTCGGTCGAGTAGCACCTTCACCACATCAACATGTCCGTTCTTGACTGCTTCGATGAGGGGAGTGGACCCTGTGTGATCTGTAACAGAATTGCAGGTGGAGACAAAGAAAATGATATTAAGTTTCTGCGAGCGTGGAAGTGTGAAATTAAAAATGCGAGCAACACACCTCTGATCTCGATATCGACCGAAGATGCATCATTGAGTATGCTAAGGACTGTTTCGAGGTTTCCCTCAGAGCAAGCGGTCCAGAGCTGTGAGACCATGTCGCAAATCCTATAGTGAATCTAATGGATGAAGAAAAAGAACAAATAGGGCTACGCAGAATGAACCGAGGGCAGATCTGAGAAACTGAGCGAAAGGAAGAAAAGATGTGACCTAGACACGTCGACCTCAACTTTGGCTTGAATCGGCTTTCGGAGTGTGGCACGCCCCTACAAAAAAAAAAAAAGTAAAAAAAATGCGTGAGAAAGTATTTACTTGGATACGCTTATGTAATTTAAAAGTAATATATTATTATTAGAGGAAATCTCATCTGGTTCTCCCAATCTATATAGACCACCTCACAGTGGCCAGGTTTGCAGAGACAGCGGAAGATGTGACTACAATCAATAAATCAATAAATTATTGGACGTGGACAATAGTGAGTTGTCTCTCGCATTGCTTACGTATGCATGTATACGTCGACGTGTGGGTCATTGATTTAGGCACCGGATGTCATATTCCTTTTCAGGAAGACGTGTTATCAAGTTACGATCACATGTTACGCGGAAACGGGAGCCTTGGTTCGAGACTCGACTTGAACTATGTATACGAAAAGGTTCATGTGTCCAATCCAAGCTTCTGCATCAACCTCTTGGCAGGTTCCCCTGCTTTCTCCGGTAGGTCCAGTTCGCGTGACGGTGGACGACACATTAATTCTTGTATACCTTCATGCAGGTCTTTCCCTACACGAGACATTCAGATTAGGCAAATCAGGCTCCACTGCACCCACCTTCATAGAGAAGTGCATATATCTGGGTTTGCAATCGGGCAAGCGAAATTGTTTTAGCTGAAACATAGAGGCAGATCGCATTACGCACCCCGTTGGCAAGAGGCGCAGACACTTGCATCTCATCGATAATCTTCTTCAATCCCTTCACTGTTGTCACTCCCTCAGCTACACTACCAAGTGTCTTGATAATATCTTCCAGCGGCTCTCCTTTACCTAGTCGATAACCCACGGTGTAATTACGACTGGTCGGCGAACTACACGTAAGAAACAAGTCTCCCACACCAGCCAATCCTAAGAACGTCAATGGTGATGCTCCGTACGCAGTTCCGATTCGCGTCATTTCGGCGAGGCCGCGAGTAATAAGACCTTGCCGTTCAGCTATAATTACAATTCTGATTTGAAGAATGTAACAAACCTACCGGCTCTCGTGTTATTCTCGAATCCGAGTCCATCGGCAAGGCCTGTGGCGATAGCGTAAACATTCTTAAGGGCACCTGCAAGTTCTAACCCTATCGGATCAGATCCAGTGTAACTGTATGGCACCTTGAACCAAAACGCCAATATTGGAATAGGGTAAGTCCTACCACCGGAACCACGGCTGATGAAATATTTCTGACGCTTTCCTTGCTTGCGATTCTGTTAGAGATGCGACAGAAACAGACGTCGGTTGCCTGCGAACAACTTGGGGTTCTTTTCAGGAGAAGGCATGATTCTTTTCCAATTCTGAACGTACTTTCCGTTGCAAATGATGGTCCGGACTACCAGAGTCACGACTACGGAGATTAGCAGACAAGACAACGCTTACAATAAAAGTTGCCGCGCGCGCAATTTCACTTCCGCAGGTATCAGCAATGATCTCGAGCGTTAGTGCATGTGTGCCTGTTTCAATACCTTTGTTGACAAAAATCATCAAAGGTAAGTTTGCGCGGTCGAAGCTGTGTTGTAGTTTGATGAGTGTTTCTCTGTTGGTTCCGATCTCAAATAAACTACGGAATCTGAGACAGGTCCATGAGATATTCACCTGACGCCTTGCGTTGGTATTGCAAAAAGTAAAACATCCATCTGTTTCATCATCGCCCTGCTGGGTATCTCCGGGCCGACAACGCGAATATTCGTTGAAAATTCGTGATCTTTCAGGTAGTCTGGATTCCGGTGATGCTTGTTAAAGTATTCCACAAAGCGAGCTTCTCGAGACCACATGAATACTTCATGGTCTGAGTTTCCGAGATGGTCCGCCAAACAGCTTCCAAAATTGCCTGCTCCAAGGACCAGAATTTTTGATTTTGGGGGCGGGGTTGAGGGTAATGACAGCATAGTGAATTTCGCAGTAGAGAGAGAGGCGGTGGAGTGAATGCTACGCCTGGAGAAATGGTTATGATGAGAGCAGAGGATAACACTGGCCCGTGGATGTAGCTTGCTCTTGACGATATTACTACGTCGAATAGCAATATAACGCAGCATGCACAACTGGCCAAGAATGCTCTGATTAGTCAAGTAGCATAAAGTAGCAAGGAGTACTTGAGGAAGTATCATATCCAGCAAAAGCTCACGGCGTTATTGCCGGGTTTAGACCATAAATTCAATGTTGATGGCCGGCCGGATGACACGGTGGCCGGCCGCAGCCGGTGTTACAACTCGCCCTTCGTCCAACGCATACTCATCATCTATATTTAATACCTTATTCTTTCCTTATAGACGCAACCCGCCATGGCAATACAAGATAGAACACACGAGTTTCGTTCATGCGTCGAGTCCATACGAAACAGGTCCGCTGTACCACCCCGAGCCGCTGAGGCGAAACAGAAGTTACTTCAATCCCACAGCAATGGAGGAGCAAAGAGCGAATTCTCGCGTATGGCCTCTGCTATTGGGAAAGATATCAGTAGTACTGCCATAAAACTAGGAAAACTTGCGCAGCGTAAGTACAACGTCTTATTGTTCACTGCGTTTATTGACCAGCTTCCAGTCGCGAAACGGAAGACACTGTTTGACGACAGACCAGTGGAGATTAGTGTATGCTTCTTCGCCGACGTGTCCGCAGTACGCTAACATGAATTCTTCAGGAATTGACATTTATCATTAAACAAGACATTGCGAACATAAACAGGCAAATAGCCGCTCTGCAATCCTATGTTAAGCAAAGGAATGCACAAGCATCAAAATCTTCAGAGGGGAAACAGATTGAGGAACACAATCACAATGTCGTCATGATGCTGCAGAGCAAGTTGGCAAATACAAGCATGAGCTTCAAGGATGTTCTGGAAGTTAGGACACAAGTGAGCCGCCAAACCGCATGTCAGCAACTCAGGCTAAATGGAGTTCCAGAACATGAAAGAAAGCAAAGACCGTACAGAGCAGTTCATGTTCTCTACGGCAGCCGCAACCCACCACGCTCCACCGAGTAAGTCATCATTGGTGCATAAACGAGCTCTCGCGACCAATTCGCCTATCAGGTTCGCTACTTCTAAACGGGAGACAAGACCCTATGGGTGACGGAAGCCGACCTAACTCCAAAGGCAAAGGCCGAGCCTTTCAAAACGAAGACGTTCTCGCATTGGACCTTGATTCAGCCGAGGAGGGCTCAACAAAGCACGGAGGCAATGCATTCATGCAGATGCAGCAAATCGAACAACAGGTCATTCAGTTGAATGCTGCTCAATTATACTTTATACTGAGAGACTTCCAGGACTCGTATATCCAATCAAGATCGACAGCGATAGAATCCATCGAATCGACAATTGCAGAACTAGGACAAATATTCACTCAGCTGGCCAATATGGTTGCCGAGCAACGAGAAACAGTACAACGCATTGACGCAGACACCGTGGATATCGCGTCGAATGTGAGTGGTGCGCAGAGAGAGTTGCTCAAGTATTACGCGAGCATCTCGAGCAATCGCTGGCTGATGCTCAAGGTCTTTGGCGTGTTGATCGTCTTCGTGAGTTTGTCCTTCTCGAGAAATACAGGCATGCGAGTTCTAAACCCCTTCACCAGTTCCTTATCTTCATTCTTGTCTCATGAGTGGACGCTAAGCGCCGTTTTGTCGCATATTTACTAGCACGATATTCATATCATAATTTAATATCTAACATCATAGGAAGGAATCACAGAATACTCCACAAAATGAAACTTCAGCCAACAGGGATAGCATTAACACCAGTACCCCAATCTTTGCTTTTGGTCCGCCGTGCTTTATCAGCCTTCGCGTGCTTCTTTCCCCCGCGATGTGTCGTGGAGTCTTCCGCGTCACCGACCGTCCACGTCCGCTTTTTCTGCACCTCCTGATCGGCGCCTGATGTTGTAGAGAATCTCTTTGCCGCATCCATCCTAGACGTTGGCTCTTCACCTTTTGAATTGGCTTTCTTCTGGAGTTGTTTTTGCTGTGCAATTAAGTTACTTAGCACCAAGTAGACTACGCTGGGAACATGGCTCACTCGCTGACTCTCCAACTCCTTGTTCCGTTCCTTCAACTTCGACAGCCTCGCTTCGCCTTTGCCGCCACCACCAGCAGTAAGTTCAACGTTGATCTGACGACCATCCAAATTGGAGTGGTGCAGTTTGAGGCCCTGCTGAAGAGCATTGCGATGCCTGAATTCAAGGAAAGCGCATCCCTTGGATTTCATCACGGGTCTTGAAGGTGGTTTATTAGCAGCTGGTTTAGGTGCAAGTAAACGGACAGTAGGTGGTGGATCTGAGCGCCGATGTCAAAACCTCCTTGTGTGATGCAGATTACTGTAATAACTTACCGCATGCTGCGAAGTGAGCCTCTATTGATTCTAAAGTGGTGGTATATTTAAGATTTCCTGAGGTCAAGGTGTCAGTTAAGCAGAGGGACTCCCCAGGATGCTCGATCATACCAAGAAACAGAATAAAACGTTGTTTTGATTTTTCAATTTTTGACTCTCCCTGCTCAGCATCCTCTGCAACATCCCCAGCATCTCCTTTGGTTCTCTTAACTCCCCGCTTCCCCGACGGCCCATCCTCTCCCTCTAGATCTCCGGCTCCTTGTGCATCTTCCGCAACTTCCCTCTTTCTCTTTTTCGTTGCCACCACCAGCCCTTCTTTCTCTCCGTCCTTCTGAACCAGGGCCTCTTTCCTTCCTTTGCTTTCCCCCCCAACACTCCTTTGAGCGCCTTGAATGACCTCCCCACCCTCCTCACCGCTAGCCCGACTGTCAATAAGGTCCTGAAGTTCGAGAATAGGGACATCGTGCTCCAGGTCTCCTTGGTTTTTTGATTTGCCTTTGCCCTCGCGGAAAGCTATGCCCTTCTTTTGGCGTTTGGTGAGCTTGGGAGTTGAAGACATTGATATTTATATAGGACCCTGGGCGCGTCTTTTGAGTTCCTGCCGGGTTCGCTTGCAGCGAATAGACGGCAGATTGGATATAAAAAGTATGTATTGTAGCGGAAAGCAATTACATCACGTGATGTTGTACATAATGTGCGTGCAGTGCGGGAGAGCCTTGAACCAGCTTGCCAAGGCAACTGTGCAATACGGGACAGCTTCGCAGCGAGATGTATTAGCCCATTGCTATAGAACGAAGGGCTTCAAACACCTTGGAAAGCAGTCCGATTCAAGCGTGCGTGGAAGCAAATGCCCGTACACTTTGCGCAACTTCTCGAACCAGATCAGTGAACGCAGATAAAGCGACCAGAATTACTATTCTGTATGTCACTCAAGGTGCCCTTTTACGGTCACTCAGCCCAGTGATAATCCATTCACGGCTTCGCCTGCGCCTTCGATCTCCCTTTCCTCGCCATCAGCTCCTCTCCGCGTCCGCAGAATCGGCCGTAAAATCGGACTCACAAGCCCTAAAGAAGGCCGAAGTACAGGGCTAGAAGATAAGCTCATGGTTCCCAGGTTTACCTGCCGTGAACTCGGATAAGTTTGGAAAGGGTAACCGGACGTGACGGTGGGTGATGAGGTGGCTGAAGTACTAGAATTGGATGGAGGGATAGAAAGAGGAATCGGGACTGGAGGCCTGGAACTAGGTGTCCGAGGGTACGACACGAGTGAGGGGTGTGTTTCTCGCAAGTATGATATGGAAGGCGATACAGCACGGCGTTTCGCAGATGTAGGATATGGATCATATCTGTCGTCCACTGCCACGAGTTGTTAATGTGATACCTTCGAGTGATGTGCGACTACCTTACATTTACGTTTGTTCGAGCGCACCGCGCTTGTGGTTGGTGGTGGCGTGTATCGCCATTGAATAGACATGGGCGTGGAAATGATGGAGGGAGATACCATAGGCTGCCCGGCGGTTAACAAGAGATAACGAATGAGATAGTGGAAACATACGGGATCTACATCCATAGCCACTCCCATCGGGCTTTCTGCCAGGGACATGTTCAAATCATCCCCATTTACACTCTGAGCAGGGGTACAGGGCTTGACGTTGTTTGTTTCGTTCTGTATATCAAAGGCAAAAAGGCCCTGGACATCGTCGTCGTCATCGTCACTCAAAGGATCCTCGTGCGAATCCTCGTGGCCCACTTCTTCAGGATAGCGACCACGGTCTGAGGGTGCACGAGGTGTACGGGGTTGCGAGGGGAGGTCGGAGTGCGATGCCAACAGGCGTTGGAAAGCTGCCTCAGACTGAAGTTCGTCCTCTTCTGGACGTGGTTCTGCTAGCAGATTCAATATGCGCGCAGGCTTCAGCTACATGAGATATTAATATTAGCATACGAATAACGACTACGCAGCATAGCACTCACTGGATAAGTAGGACGGCGCAATATTGGGATAGGCGTGTCTCCAGCATTGGCTGGTAGTGCATTTGTGCTCAGATTGCGACTTGGCGGCGGTGTTGAGGGACTGGGCCCACCACTGCGTGTGCTAGCGTTGCTTTCGTCATCTCCTTCTAGTGGAAGAGTAATTGGGGGTGTTGGATTTCCTGAGCTGCTTGATGGAGAGCTTTCAGACCACATTCTCTCTCGGTCACTTTCCGATTCTTCGCCATTACTCCCTCGTCTTCTGGAGGCCACGGTGAACGAAATTGCCAACGGACTTTGTATCCTTTTGTCTGAATAGTACGATGACTTGTTGAGTAATGTCGGTCGTCGCAGTCTCAAAAACAGTGGATTCGGCAGTCCATCGTCGGCTGATGTAGAAGATACCACGCTCGACGTTGATGGGAGTGCAAACTCTTCGGACGAGGTTGGAAAGGGCAGACGATTATATGATTCAGACATGGTTGAGGAAGGAAAAGCTAATGAGCACCGTAGATGAATGACAGACAACGTTGTGGCCTTCCCGGACAGTTACCAAATCCACAGGGGCATTCCCATTATGTTACATTCTTAGTCGCTTTGATAAGGGCAAAAACCCGGCTTTTGTGGATAAAAACATATGTGTATCACCCGGGAGGACAAAATGGCATCTAGGCCAATAAGCGGAGGCAAATCACTCAGAACAACAATGAACTTCAACAAAATATTGTGGCTGACTCGCGCAGCAACCTGTAGCACGAGTTGTCAGCGCGACACTAGTAGCAGGCTGCAAGCACGTGAATCGTAAGACCATCCATTTGCCGCGAAGCCATCATATCGTCACAGACGCGTAAGTTGTTATAAAATGTGCGTTAGATCGTTTAGCTTGCCAGGAAGGATGATGACAAAAGAACGTGCTGGTATTTGATCGTTTTTCGTGAGGCAAAGTGCATGAATTGAGTCTCTCTGAGATAAATTATTCACAATGTGATTGGTGTCATTGACATTAACACGAAGGAAGGAGCTGGTAGGCAACGTATGTAGCAGTCGACAAGAGTCCTAGAGAGACGTTAGGAGAGGGAAGGCAAGATACAGATCATACTACTTACCAAGCACTGAGAAATTGCTGACAATACTTCCAAACACCCGCTGAAAAAAATAAATGAGACGATGTCGAGCATTATAACAAGGCGCAACAACGAACCCTCTTTGGTTGGCCCGACTTGTATCCAATGGTATAAGCGATGCGCGCGAAGGAATATGCAACACATATGGCAGCAGCTAGAGCAGGGTACTTCAGACCCGCCATGACAGTTCTGACGGCAACCCCTGTTATGTGTCACTTTCTCCTCAAATCCAATGCAGACTTACGAAACGAATACCACGGGTGCCGTTTCAAGCGTATTTTGGTGTGCACCTAGGTCAAGGGTGAATCAAAGGCCACGCAACTACGAATTTAGAGAAAACATACGCTGCATGCAGTTGAAACGAAGGGCTGCAGCGGAATTTTTGACCTCAGCTTGTTCAGCATACACTGTGATGGAAGGTATCAGAGAGTCTAGAATTAGTAAGAAGTCACTTAAACGCACGTTGAGGAAACTCGACCCCTGCCCTCTTGCGGTACCTCCCAACCATAATACCCTGCCAGACAAGGACCCACCCAATGGTGATCAATGAACTCGGAACATACCCATAACTATACGAAATGAAATCGTCAAAAAGAGTATGGTCATTGGTCAGTCAGCCAACGTACCCCTCAGGTAGAGCCATTATTGCTTGAAATTTGGGAGAAGTAACTTGGAGTGCAGTTTATGGAGATATTATCATGCTGAACCGTGGTCTGCATTTATAGTAAGCCACCATAGTGCTTCAGGCCTTCAGAGGTACTCCGAGTCATGGTACGCGTACTTACTCAGATACGCGTCATCCCATCGGATACTTACGTGTCTCTTGGCTTGGTAAAAGTAGATTCATAATTCCCAAGGCACAAAGTCTAATGCCCGTGATGCCAGGCCGCGTCAGCGCTCGGCATAATGACATGGAGGAATCATTTGCAAGGCCGTCAGGTGTTAGGCGTCCCGGGATGACGCGCAAAGTGCATGCCGGCCAGGCACAGTTTTAAAGGAATCGTAATACAGAGAATAATGGGACTAGTAGTGTGCAACTGCACAGATCGTGTGTACTAGAATACCTGTGAGGTCTTGTAAGTTGTAAGTACACCCCCAGTACTTCCAAGCTTCAGGTTGGTGTTGTGTCATCAAAAATTACTTATGTAATCAACAGTCTAACCACGTGCTCAATAATTTTGAGATCTGAGCTATGATCTGCAAGACAAGCAACCTCAATCCGAGATGTCCAAACGAAGTGCATCCGACAGGGAAACAGACGGCCAAGCATTTGCGAAGGCATCTGGAAGTGGGGCTAAACGTGATGAGAATGAAGTAAATGATATCGGTGAGTTCGAGGATGCTTGGGAGGATGAAATCGAATCCGAAGAGGAGGTGATTGATGGAGAGACCGGGGACGGCGAAGATGGTACGTGAAATTGTTGTTCGTGTGGCTTCGGAGTGTAACTCACAGGTGATGTCGTTTAGGGATGGATGTTGATGAAGTCATGCCCGCTATCGAAGAATCCGAAGAACTACCTCCTGCTCCAGAGGCATTTATCCCCGGGACGCATGTCCTTGGAAAGGACGAGATATTGGAGCCTGACGACTCAGTGTATATCATGCGCCATTCGATGAATGTGACATGGCCTTGTTTGTCATTCGACGTCCTCAGGGACAGTTTGGGGGACGAGCGGCAGCGTTATCCAGTAACTGCATACCTTGTCGCTGGAACACAAGCAGATCAAGCAAGCAAAAATGAGCTCTCAGTCTTCAAAATGAGCTCACTACATCGAACGCAAAAAGATGGAGGTAATGTACGACTTCATGTTTTTGTCAATCGATGCTCATAAATTGTCATGCGCAGATGATTCAGATTCAGACGAGGACGATGATGATACGCTCGATGAAGATGCTATACTGGAATTCCGTTCAGTACCTCATCACGGTGGTGTAAATCGTGTTCGTGCCCAACCCTTACCTCCTGCATCACCTCTACCTCCTGCATCACAGCCCTACTTTACCGCAACGTGGGCCGATAATGGCAAAGTTCATATATGGGACATCAGACCGCTAATCGAGTCTCTGGACGTTCCGGGATACTCGTGGGACAAGTCGAGAACTAATAAGCCAGCTTTCACTATTAACTCGCATGGTCGTGCCGAAGGGTTTGCAATGGACTGGGCTTCATCAGGAAATGCAAATCCATCATCGCTACGTCTACTCACTGGAGACGTGCACTCGAAGATATACCTAACGACAACCACGCCATCAGGATTCAACGCCCTTTCTCAACCGTTCACATCACATACCTCCAGCGTCGAAGATCTGCAGTGGAGCCCATCTGAACCCACCGTATTTGCATCATGCTCTGCGGACCGCAGCGTGCAGATTTGGGACGTGCGGAGTAAAGGACGGCGAAGTGTGGCCGGAATCGAGCCAGCGCATGAGAGTGACGTGAATGTCATTAGCTGGAATAGAAGTACTGGTTACCTCCTTCTTAGTGGTGGTGATGAAGGTGGAATCAAGGTCTGGGACCTACGCAATGTGCAAAAGAAAGGGTATGTTCAGGTCAAATTGTATGTCACGCTCATGCTCACAGATCGTCAAGGACAACAGTGTTGCCTAGCCCCGTTGCCTCTTTTAAATGGCACACCGCCCCCATAACCTCTATCGAGTGGCACCCGACTGAAGACTCGATATTCGCTGCGTCTGGCGCAGACGACCAGGTGACCCTTTGGGATCTTGGAGTCGAACCGGACGATGATGAAATGGGCACATCCATGAATGACACACCTGATGGTGCACGAGACGTCCCGCCACAACTCCTCTTTGTCCATCAAGGTCAAAAGGATGTCAAAGAAGTTCACTGGCATTCACAGATTCCAGGCGCAGTTTTGAGCACTGCACTTGATGGATTCAACATCTTCAAAACGATATCAGTGTAGTTGTGCGCCAGAGGCTGCACAAGCCATTGTTGCCACCGAGCCGATGGAAAAGTAGAACCTTGAGAAGTTACATACCTGGAATTGACATAATAGATATCATTGACCAACAGAGGAACGCATTAACCGAAACGTCATCGACTCGTTGTTGTAATTATCAGTATGGATACGGTAAGATTACTGGACCCAGAATATCTATGCATCAGTACAGCCCGACACCATTGTTTCCCTTGGGTGCCCGAATCTACACACAACATGAGCAGAGAGAACGACGGAGTGATACGGAAAACTTACCTTGGCAATATTTTTATGCAGGATATCAGTGAGAACAGCGTAAACATTGCGCATGTCTATGAGGTTTTGGCGAGAAAAGAAAAACTGCTTCTCATCGTGTTCTTTCAAACCCAGCTGAATAATAATCCCATCAGCGGTTTAAGAGTATATCACACAAGAGGCGCGTACTGTGTAATCTTCTATGTGGGGGTACTTGATGAGTTTGGAGCAAATCTTTGCTCTTGCCAGATGATGTTGGCGCGCAGTATCGCGTATGTTATACGCGCTCTCCTGCGAACGGAGAAGTTCGCTAAGAACCTCTGAAAGAGTATCAGACCAATGATGCCACGGCCACTCCATGATTACTTACCCTCTTGGATTTGAACACCTTAGGTGGCAGACGATTTCAGTTTAGCCACCACAAATAAGACCTATAATTTAACTCACCGAAGTTGTCACCACTGTTTGAGGGAAGACGTCAAAAAGCGACCCACTGGAAAGAAAAAGGGCTCACTCTTCAATCCTGAATCTCATGTCAATGCAGATAATAAGAAATGTCGAATACCACGTACTTGGGCATGGTCAGGTTCACCCATAATTTGACTTTGTCCTGTTTGATTATAAAATACCCATAGGAAGTCACAATGGACAGATACGTACACAAGAGTCAGATAGCTGTGCACACTCTAGTTTGACCGTCTCATGCAGCTTCGAGATGAGTTTGTTGGCATGTACACGTTCTGAATATCTTGCGTTGACGGTCTCGTCCAGATGGGAGGGGGCGGCACTTCCGTCTTCATTGCGCTTACGCTTGTTAGATGACGAACCATTAGTCTCTGTTGATGACGGTGGAGGGTGGACAGTAGTGTCTGTGGATGTACCCGCTTGAGATAATTGGTAGGGTGAATCTTCGGCATTCATAGACTCAATCAGGCTCGTAAGTTCACTGTATATAGGTTAGCGAATGAGGAAAAGGCAAAATAAATTATAACATTCATTATCTGCAATGAACATGAGCAACAAGTCGGAGACACAGCAAGTAGCTCGCCTTGTTTGGGAACACGCGGAAGACGATGCCTTCTGCAGTCTCCGCGACCTTTGCACGGAAGTCCTATACATTGTTTTTGCATTTGAAACGCGTCACAGTTGCGGCTGGCAGTACTTACTTCAATGCTTTTGGCAACCTCTTTAGTCATGGACATGGTGGTCAGAATCATGACAGGCGCTGGCACGGAATTGCCTTTCATGTTAGTGAGCCAGTATTTGTAAGCAGCTTTAAGTCAATCGCACCCGGTTACTTAAGTTGTACTCTCGCATCCACCGGACTTTGTACGACGTCTGTACGCCCCAAGTGTGCTACCTTTGTCAAAATACTCACGGGGTTCGTTCATTTATCCGTAAAGAAAGGATATTATCGTAAAAATCTGTATACTAGTATCTGCACAAGCAGTTATTGAAGCTGAAGGACATGGCAAACCAAGTGAGTCTCGTGTCTATGCCTTAGCAAGTGGCTTTTCACAGCGAATACAGGATGAAGATTCAGTGATTTCAACACTGACAGGATTCTCTCTGAATAGTGTTTTGTCAGGCCTATCCCTCTCTACAGGCGATCTTCCCAACAGCCTTGGTATTTCAGGATTGTCTTCCTTGGACGCCAAACAGATTTACAATGACAAGTGGGACGACGATGCGGTCGGTGCGGATCAGGGAGAGGATTTCGAGGATGAAGTGAACAAGGAGTTCGAAAACGAAATGCCGGAAGACTTTGTAAAGATGGAGGTTCAATCTCCTGTTGGCATGCGTCCTACGGAGAAGCGCGTTAGGATAGTGAAGCGGCTAGTGGAGAGGCCAAAGACTGTTTATGAACGCTTTCCAGCCTTCGAGAAGGACAAGGTCCTTGACTTCTCAGAGTTATTCAAAGGGTACACGGTCAAGAAATCGAGGATAACAAAGAGGCCTTTACAGGGTACGAATTGTACCACAGAATTTTCAAGAATGCTAACCATTATATAGCTGAGAGTATATACCCCCGGAAACGTGATATTCCAAAGGGTTTCCTTGATACCGTAGTCGGTGATACCAAGCGGCAGGTCGAAAACAAACGCGTGGAGGAAGTCATGTCCGCGGGTAGCATCGAACATGACTTGCTGCGTGCTCTTGAGGTGAGTGCCAATTCCGGGTGCTCCTTTTCATTCCCTCATCATGTGTAGGAGCGAGAAAAATCAGATGTGCCCGTAACTCTTCCTTTGCACGACAGAAGTTTTGATTTGGTGCTACTATCTAATTGGGAGGACGAGATTGTGTACGAGCCGAGCCACACAACTACGCCATCCATTCTGGAAGACAATAATCTCACCACTCCTGTCAATAAAGCTCTAGAGTCGGGTGCTTGGACGCAGAGCATTATCTGGAGCCAAGATGCCCCTTTCCGCGATTTCATTCAACTAGAACTTAACGAAGAAGATATCACAGAAGAGCATCCTCAAGGTAATTCTTCTATCTCACTGTTGTCACGGGTACTTTTGCTAATATGAGGTGACATTGAATTGTAGAGACCGTCAGACCAAAAAAGCGTATCAGAGCACATGATGCTCAAATTCGTGATAAATTTAACCTGTCTAACGACCACTTTTACGAGGTGTCGAAAGAAGGTGGCCGTCACCGCGTGCGTCAGACGTTTGGACAACTTGTCGTCGAGCATGCCTATCCCGCTCAGAAGCTCCAACTTCCATTTGTGCGTAAATTGATTTCAGCATCGACTGTAATTATTTTCTTATCTATCTTCTCTATCAGTACAAGACAAGGCTTTCAAAGCAGGAAGCCCGCTCCTTCCACCGGCCCGCCTTGCAGTTCCCAACCAATATTGATATCCGCTTTAGCAAGGTGCGCACGGCAAAGAAGAAAAAGGACAAAGCGGGCCGTAAGGTTGGTAAGGGTGGCAATATCGGTGAGGGGTTACATCGTACGTCCGACTTGAGCCTCAAGGACACCAGTAACTTTGTCCTATGGGAGTATTCCGTGAGTCTTTTTCGTCTCTTACCTGATGGAATCGGATATAGCGAGGTATCCTTTAGGAAGAACATCCGCCAATTGTGCCGAACTTCGGTATGGGTAGCGCGCTGGTGAACTACTATCGTAAGAAAGACGAGAAGGACGACTACATGCCGAAGGTACGGATCAAACGATGAGTCAGGACGACACTTAATTCAATTGACTCATTAAGCTTGACCTTGGGGTACCGTTTGTCCTCGAGCCGCAAGATGAGTCGCCTTTCATGAAGTTTGGCTACGTCTATCCTGGCCAAACATTCCCGGCACTATACAACAATCTCGTGCGGGCACCACTTTTCCGCCACAAATCCTATCCTACAGACTTCCTGGCCGTTAGGTACGGTCCTCCAATTTCACCAGTCAGGCAAATTTATTAATTGGATATTAGGAGCACCACGAAAGGCGAGACACGGTACTACTTGCGTGAGATCAAGAACCTGTTCGTTATCGGCCAGACGTACCCTGTTACCGAGGTACCAGGGCCACACTCTCGGAAGATCACCAACACCATCAAGTATCGCTTACAAATAATCGCTTTCAAACTCCTGAAAAAGAGCAGTGAGGAGCGACTAAAAATATCAAGATTGATGAAGTACTTTCCCGATCAAAATGAACTCCAGATGCGGCAGAGGCTAAAGGAGTTCATGGAATATCACAGGCGCGGTCCTCATCAAGGGTTTTGGCGTCTTAAATCTACCGTGACCATTCCTAGTGATGTGGATATGCTGAAGATGGTCGGTCCCGAGCAAGTCGTGTTGATGGAGAGTATGCAAGTCGGGCAGCGCCATCTCCAAGACTCTGGCTATACTCAAACCGCTGAAACCGCGGAGGATGACGAAGGCGAGACAAAGCTTTCCGTTGAACAACAACTGGCGCCTTGGATCACGACAAAGAATTTTCTATTCGCCACCCAGGCTAAAGCTATGCTTCGGTTGCATGGGGAAGGTGACCCTACTGGGCGCGGAGAAGCGTTCAGCTTCATCCGCATTTCCATGAAGGATATTTTTGTGAAAGCGGGCGAAGATTATGAACAGAAGCTTGGCGAGTTTGATTATTTTTGTGCCATAAATTCAACTAACCATGTTTTTCTTTATCAGCCGAGGCAGATAACAGGCCAAAGTCCGCGCACCGTTACAATGTTGCCGAACAGCAGCAAATTTATAAATCCGAGATCGAGCGAATATGGAAAGCTCAGTTCGATTCATTGAGCAGAAAGGACGAACCACAATTTTCGGAAGAAGATGAAGTGCCTGCCCCTGTTGAGGTCAAGAAACTACAGCGGCAAGCTTCACACAGGAATGAGACACCCTTCTCTCCTGCAATGTCACCAGTACCGATTGGTCCTGGCCCTGCATCGCCCGCTTTCAGCCGCGGCTCTTCGTTGGAACGGGACCGAGAGATGAGTTTAGGACCGAATGACAGTCGTAAAGTTCTCCGGATTAAGCGACTGGTTTGTTGTCTATCTCTTTCAAGCTCGAAACTTTATTCATTCCCGAATTCAGGTCGATGACGAATGGCAGACAGAAATCATCCGCGATCCTGCCGTCATACGTGCTTATGTGCGTGCCAGGCAACTATTAGAGGAAGAAGCCACACTTGCCGACAATCTCGCACCTACGGGTGATGCGGACAAGGATAAGAGGTACAAAAAACGGTATGTGGTCGTTCATACATGGCTAGCTGTGCGAGTAACGTGAAGCTGAAACCCGATCTCCCCGTAGGTTAGAAGAACAGATAGCACGAATGAAGAAGAATCAAGAGCGGCGTCTGCATCGTAAAAACGCCAAGATTGTCAAGGAAGGTGGCACCCCGATGCAACTTAGCCGGCCGCTCAAACCAGATACAACCGTGAGTTCTCAGCATGATAGACAGCACGAGGTTTAGAACTTACGTCCTGTTCAGAGACGCTGCGGTCATTGTGGTCAGATGGGCCACATGAGTACGTCATTTCCTTTAATTCACGAGCTGTACCTGGTGACTCTTTATCTGATAGAAACTAACCGTAAATGTCCTCGTTGGGCAGAGTTCAATAGTGGAACGGCACCTGCACCTGCCACTCCTACATCCGTAACAAGTCCGCCACCCAACTCCGCTGGGATGTCTAGTTTAAGTGGGTTTAACAGAGCTAGCGGGACCCTTGGTTTTGGTGCACCGGTTCCTTCTCCGTTGGCAACTAGTCCCCCAGTATCTGCAATGGAGGACGTAGATCTGGCGGCACCCGGTGCACCTTCCGCTCCAAAGATAAAACTAACGCTCAAGAGATCATAACGCGTCTCGCGTCCTGCCGACTTTTTTGTCTATCTTATTTTGAGTGCAATCAATCCTAATATATGTAACGTATGTCTCGCAATAAACTCGTGTACAAGTAAAGAGTGCAAAAAGCAGAAAACAGTGATGGTGAGTTTGTAATAACTAATTAAATGTCTGTCGCCTATGCAACGGCCATCTCCACATCTACCGAAGGCAGCCGGGTTCGCGAAACCCTTGAGGATCCCATCTGGGGACTGCCGAAGCGTTTCCGATAATCCTCGTTAATCTTCACAAGCAGGTTACGTATAAGCTCTGCATGCTTCTGCCGGTCTTCCGGTGTGACTTCCTTTGTCAGGTGATCTAGCTGGATCTTGTCAACTTTCTTGACTAGTTCATCACTCTCTGATGTCTCGGTGATTGAGCGCAGACCAGTGATGGATGTGTGAGCGGACACAGGTGACGAACGTGTGGAGCTAGGGGTCGTCCCACGAGATGTATCCGGAGATCGTGATGCAGACGTATGAGGTGAGGGCGAGCGGTACATCTCCTTAATGGGTGGGAGTCTGAGCGGACCTGCATCAGGCTTGAGTGATGGTAACTTCAAATGAGAGTCTTCGGGAAGCAGTAAGGGGTACAATTTACTGGA